CGATATTCCTAATATTTGGGAATTTGGGTTTCCTTTTTGTGAAGTTTGGTGCTTGCCGGAGCTTCTCTGTGAATCAGTGAATGGAGAGTAGGCCCGCAGCAGTCCTCAAACATAGATCCAGGAGTGCCAAGTTCTGACGTAGTTGAGACCTGCCGAGCCCATACCCTAGGTTCTAAAGCAAATTCCTGTGTTTTTGAAATATCTTGGCGGCTGCTTCATCTTGCCTAGCTGTCTCGAGTCTCAGGCATCGTGTCAGTCGCGGTGCTTGCGTGCCTTTGCTTGAACGCCGTCCTCCTTTTCGGACGAGACGAGGAGGCCTTTGGGAACTTGTTTCGGTCCTTGCACAGTGCTTTCCGAATGATGTTCGGGGACTGGGATTGGATGCCAATGGAACGAGTCAGTCGAACTGGCGCCTACCTTTGGTTTACCATGTTCATGGTTCTTGTGGTTATCATCCTTCTTAATATGCTGTTGGCCATCATTCTCGACAACTATATGGACGTCAAGCGAGTCTCGGCGAGCGCCGACTCTCTGGGAGCTCAAATGACGGAGATGTATCGGAGACGAAAAATGCTAAAACGCAAAGAACGTGTGCGTCTCAACGATATCTGGGATAGTTTTGTGGCAGAGGCCAGTGGCCGCCCAAAGATCGCACTCGCAACCGACCGGCAGATCACAGCTGATAAACTGCAGCAGATCGTTCCGGGCATTCCTCACTCTCAAGCATCCCGCACTTTACAAAACTCCTGGTTGGCTCATCTGAAAGCAACCACAGCGCCGTTCGAGTTGAAGCATTCTTCTCGTCACCTGGCGGCTTTCGAGATGGAGACACGGAAAGTGCGAAACGGCTTGTTCTTCCTCTTTGATCGCCTGGACTTCTACGACACGCGGTACGACAGCGAGGGTGCAGAGAAGGACCGAGAAAAGGCAGATGGATCGGCATCACAACCGAACAGCTCGATCCTTACTAGTGATCTGATGATGCCAGCACCACAGCTGTTTGAGATTTGTTCGTTGAGGTCAAGATTTTCAGAAGCTCTCCGAGTTCAGTTTTCGTGTCAATGGGTCGGTTTCGGGTTGGCTTCATTAGTCACATGTTTGGGGTAGCCTCTTGTATTCCTGTGACTTCTCGCAAAGCATGACAAAACATCAAGAATTTAAATAGCATTGCAATCAACGCCACGATTGTTCGCAAAATCCAAACGACTCGAGAGCATAGGAGTTCTGACAGTTGAAGTTGTGCAGAGACGAAGTTGAAACAGAGGAAGGAGTTCTGACAGTTGTAATTGGATTCAAACAGGAGAAGAGAAGTTCAAACAATTGAAATCAATTCAAATGAGAAGAGGTCGCAACATCCAACAGGTCCACTCCAACTTTTCAGACATACGCCTACTCCAGTGTGAAAGTCTTCACTTCTGAGACCCAACTAGCAGACTCTACTGAGAGGATCATCACTTAGGAGACCCAACAAGCCTGCGTCAGTGTGAGAGTCATTAGTTTTGAGACACAACCAACCGATTCCACGGGCGAGTCATGACCTTGAAGACACGACAGACCCACTTCAGTGCCGTCCAGCATGACAGTTATGACTTTTGAGACACTTTAAACCTACTCCACTCACTGAGGGGAGGACAGGTAGGGGAGGACGGCATCTTGAGATGGCAGCGCTACAAGGAATGCATGTGCGTAGTTGTAGAAGCAGTTCCTGGGAGCGAGCGAATGAGTCTGTGTGTTTCCGCCTCGGCTGTTTAAGCCTTGATCGCCGTGCAGGATCTAGTGCATTCCGTTTTTTAGTGTCACGGGAGCCTGAGTTTTTCCACTACACCGCCGTTGAATCCGCCGCCTTTTTCTCTTCTTCTCGACCTACCTCCTCCTGGCGCCAGTGCTACAACATTGCCGCGGAAACTCCGGCCAGGACCTGACCACCTTTTGCTCCGAGGCCTGCGTCCGCGACGCTTGCTTCTGCGGCGCCTTCTGAAATCAGGCGGAGCTCAGGAACTTTTCTTTCCTCTGGGCTGCTGCGGGACAGTGGACGCCCTCCCTTCGGCATCTACTACCCGTGGCTGTCCGGGGCATTCCGACTTTATGGCCACTAGCTATTCCTTGACTGACTTGACCGTGCCGGCATCTTGGGCCAGGACCGTATGGGGATTGCTTGCCCGGGCTGCCCGGACCGATCCGGGTTTCTTTGGTTCTCTACCCTGGCAGGCTATCCTTTCGGCAGAACCAGCTGCCCCGACCTTTGCGCTGCTGACTAAGCCACCCTTCTTCTGTGGAACGGCAACCTGCCAGGAGGGGAGTTCAAGCAGCGTGTTAAAGGTCATGTTTGCAGGGACACAGGGCATGAGACCATCGCACCAAGTCGGGTCAGGCCTGGTGCGACCGAAGCTGGGAGGCAAAGCAGGAGCGTCGGGTGCAGCTTGTTGAAAGTTTCTCTGTGGAGGCGGCCAGGGATGATGAATACCGGCCGGTGCACGAGACCAACGTAAGCTCCACTTACTTGCGGCCGGGAGTGTAGTTGCCGAGGCTCTGAAATCGAGCCCATCCAATCAAGATTGGTTGGAGGACTTGATATCGCATGCAACCGAACTGTTCGTAGCCTTCGGCGGCTGGACGGTTACCTTAAAGTGCTGCGATCCTCTCACGTTTGCGAGGCCGTGAAGGACTTCGTGGCCACAGAGATCGAAAAGGAGACGGGTCGGAAACGACGGAGCGAAGGCCAGCTACTCCAGGTATCGGTTGCCGATGGTTGTTGGAAGTACCTGCAGTCTTTTGAAGGTCGAATCCTTCGGCCTACTTTTGAGCAGAGATTCCGTTTTGTATTCGGCGTGCTTTGCAAGCTGAGCACTCGGAGGTGAAGCGCATCGTACTGCGTACTGCTGCAGCTGACTGCAGGCCACTTCTTCTGCGAGGTCTTCCCGAAGAGTACTCGAGCTTGGCGACGTGCAGGTGAGGCCTGCGTCCTTGGTGCCGCAGGTGGAGCAGCAGCCCTAGCCTGGCACTCGGCACTAGCCGGTGTGTTTTCGTAAGAGCAACCAGTGCCAGCGCCAGTAGCGTCTCAGAGACCTTAGGGGGGGCATCTACGAGAGAACCTGGATCGCGTTGCACTTGCTGAAAGTGATGTGGAGGCCCTGGAACGAACGCTGAGCTGGAGGTCCTTCGTGCAAGAGGACAGCCGGACACAACGAGCCGTGTGCCGTTCGATGCCTTGACCTTCGAAAAGGCTGACAGACCACGACAGCCTACGAAAACTTCGCAAGGATGCCGTTTCCCGGCCTCATGAACGCTTGCAACACTTGCTGTTCTCCCCAGCAAGCAGCTTCAAGAAGGCGCATTGGAAGTGCCGGTCAAGGGCATTTTGCCCATTGGCCGACGGCTGTCCCGGATCCGGAACGTCCGACACTCCGAGGGAGTGGTTCCTTCGGCTTCTGTTCGCAAAAGCTTGACCAAAGAGAACTGGAAGGCATTGACGGCGGATGTTGCGACCATCTTTCGTTGGTTTGTTGGAGCGGCTCGCTTCACCGAGCGGGACTCCTCACCGACTGGAGGAAGCGTGTCTCGCAAAACCTGGAGACCGGTGAGATTTTCTATCTCTATGAAGGAGTACCGCCAGAACTTGCAGCCAATCCGCAGTGCAGCCTCAGCCAGATCCGTAAAGGCACTTTGGCACAATGTCACGTAGACGTAGACCTGAGATCTCCAACTTTCTGTGCTCCAGGCGGATGGAGGGATTGTGCAGACGGCGCTGCGGGCAAACACTTTGGTGAAGCTCTTACTTCACCCTTCGCCCTGAACTTGAAGCCCCTTGACTTGACGAGGCGGGGGGTCTCATCATCACCGATACGTCTCTCGGCAACGTCACCAAGAATGGGGCTGTGGGCGACCAAGCCGCTCGGGAGTATCCGTGTACTGTGTGCTCCTCGCAGAACGTTCCCTGCTCATTTACCACCGTGTTAGGCTACAGCAGTCATGGGCTGCAGAGTACCGCTCGACACTTGCGGCAGAGCTGCTGGTCATGGAAGAAGGCCCAGATGCGGGCCAATGAGCGTGCTGGATATGACCCTGTTGGTGGCTGTTACCGATGCCAAAGATGCCTGCGATAAGGGCTCCTCGAACACCCCGTCCTACACATCTCATGCAGCGTCGGCTTGACGTGGACTGCGACCGAGGACTTGTTCGTGGACTGTGGCGCGAATAGATCTGGAATCTGGACATCCCCCGCAGGCGAGGAGACCTTGACCAAGGGTGAGGGGAGCTTTCGCCACGACCCGGAGTTTGTGAGGCAGACGGTCTCCTTGCGCCGGACCGGAAGTGGTGAGTGGTTTTGAAGTGAAGAACGACGACCCAGTCCTCGGTTTCTTGCAGGCACTTGCCACCCAGAAGGGATGGCAGAGATGGTGTGCCCGTCCACGTGTCCCATGCTGCGAAGAGTTGCTGTGATTGCCGGAACCGCGCTCGATCCTCGAGACTTCGTCTTGTGGGTTATTCCATGGCATGTGTGGCAAGGGCCCGTGGAGGATCTCAGAGGGAGACCAGCCGTAAGGCTGTTCTTTTATCCATGCCTTGACCCAAGGCTTAATTTTGGGCAGGAAAGGCGACGCCATTTGGCTGTGAGGGATCTGCTTGTTATGCTTGCGAGCACAAACCATGCAACAAGCGCATGCAGCGAACACACTGGTGTAGTGGGTGGTGAGTGAGTGAGTGAGTGAGTGAGTGTACTGTGTGTGTCTGCGTGCGCAGCCGCCGGTCGCAGGTTTTGTGCTGCGCACAAATTTCCCACCCCCCACCCCTTCTTTCAATCCCGCGGTGTTGCGCTTGGAGTGGGCAGTGCTTTGGTGAGTGCCCTTGGCATGGGCCGAGCACGGCCGCGGAGATATGAGCGGCAACATATGCACAGAAACTGCCGAGTGTGACCCAGGGTTTGTTTGGCCGCATAGCTACCATAAGTAAATCTGCTTGCGAAGTGGTCCCGAAGCACTCACCCCTAGCCAGCAGAACATCTCGCACACTCGAATCATTGGTAACATTCCAGCAATGTCTGCAACAATTATGTTGAAGGAAGGTGAAGATCAGTTGTGAAGCTGTCTTCCGTGCTGCACAGCCCTGACCACCTTGCATGTAGTGAAACGGTTTAAACTCAAAGTCCAGTTCGAGAACATCTCTATCAACCAAGTTTTGGTATTTTTCGAATCCGTTCGAGCATGAAGCCTATCCTCCAACCAGACACAAGGTGCTGGACCATTTCTGATCTGCCATGCTTTTCGTGCAGGTTCTGTGACGTATCGGTGACCTTACTTCCGACATGGGAGGTCTCCGACTTGAGATGACCCAGGCGGACGGCAAGCTTTCTTTGCTTTCTGTGAAGGAAGGCCACAGTGGAATTCGAGGCATACATGATCTGGTGTTGCCTCGGCTAGGATGCTCGAGTTCCTTCTCAGCTGCACTGAACGAGGCTCCCGGCACGACCTTCCTCAGGTAACTCCCGCAGCCACTGCCGAGCCTCATGGCACCCACAACGTGCAGTTCCACTGCTAGGATCCAGATGCGGAGGCTCCTCCAGGTGACCTTGGTGTAACTGCAGCAGAACCTCCTCGAAAGCTGTCCATCCCGGTTTGCGACTTCAGGAAGTCAACCCAAATATCAGCAGCGACCTGATCATCCAACATATCAGCGCCGACAGAGATCAGGTGAAAAGCCTGGCGTCTGGGTTGATCTCATCACGAATCCAGTCGAACATCTTCATATTGGGTGCAAATCTCGCACATTCCATGTGAGCTTTCAGAGCACGATTGACACTCCGCTGCAACGCAGGGTAAGCCGCTGTGCCTCGACTCTTGCACATTCTCTCGATGTCCACGTGCAGTTTAGCAGACAGCTTCAACCGATGTTTCTTTCCCCCATCTAGTTTCATGGAGAAGCGACCGTAGGGGGAGTTTGACTGAAACAGTACACCCAAGAGGAGAGCACTAAGAACAGCAGCGCCCAGAAACTCACGAGTGTCGTTAGTAGCCGGCTGACAAGCAGCAAGAAAAGTTGCCGTCTAAGTTGCGCTGGCCCATCATCAAAAAGATCACAAAGCATAAGTCAAGGCACAACAGCGTAAGTCTGAGTGCCTGAGTGCGCCAGGTTTTACACCCCCAACCGCAGGCCCGGGCTGCGCCTGCACTCCGAAGATTGCCCTGAGCAGCCAACCGTCTGCAGCTTTTCTGTGACGCGGTGCGCATGACGGCCGACCAATTCCACATCCTCTTGCCAAGGCCTGCTAAAGGCATTCGGCAACTTTTTCGGTGTCCCTGGCCCCACTCCGACCAAGCCTCGCGCAAACCCGCCCTAGCTGTGAACCCAACGGCAGCCATTCCGCTGTTGAGAATGTTCAGTAGGATTGTTTTCTTCGGGGCCATAGCCGCTACGCAGCCATGCATGTGGCACCGCCGGTTTTCTTTCCAAAAGGTGGCTCAAGCAATGCACACGGCAATAAGAGGTTTTCTAGGTTTTGGCACGCACATCCTCCCGGAAAGCCGGGTCGCTCTAGCAGACTCTAGCAGTTACAAACGGATTTGTCCTGTATTGCTGTTTCCGTTGCGGTTATTTTCACGCACTACATGTATATCAGCCCTTTGCCAATGACTCATGACCTTTTTTTGCACTCGCGCTCGACAGAGTGAGGCGAGGTTCAAACAAGGCTCTCAGCTTTCGGGCTCTGCAGCCATTGCTTTGCCTCCTGCATACATTGACTGGGTCAATGCAGGAAGTGAAATGTGGTTTTCGCTTGAATAAGGTGTCTTGGAATTTGGGTAAAACACCCAGCGCCTAAGACGGACCTAAAGTATCCTAAAGTTGCCTGCCCGAACAGACAAGTTCGTGCTGCAGAGCAGAACGACTTTTCTTTAGTTTCGCCAAAATTGAAGCTCGGTAGTTCTGGATTGGCAAACGAAAACAAGTATTTGTGGAAGGGGGTAGGCCTGAATAGGCATCGTTCCCACTACTGTTTTGCAAACGGCATGCCTTTTCCCGACCCGACCTCTCCAATCCTTGGCACTAAGTTTTGCGCCTCCCTGGTTGGCCTCAATCTCTCGGCGGCAACGTCACCCACTGAAGCTGTGCCTGTCCCCGTCTTGGAGCCGCCCATTGAGCCGTTTCGTGCGTGCTTGACTGGATTGTTAAACCTTGCCGTTCTATGCGATTTTCTACCCCCGGCTTGGTGCATTGTGGCATCGTTCCTTTGCTCAAACCTGGCAAATCAAAGAACCGCAGTGAGTCACACAGACCAATATCCTTGATCCCGCTGGCCCTCAAGCTCCTGGATCGCATCAGGTTCCGTCGGGTATGGCCCGCTAATCGCTCACAAGCACTTCCTTGGCAGCTAGCGGAAGTAAGTGCCCTGATTTGGCTATTGCGTACATGGTTGACATGTTGAGGTTAAGGGCTAAGCGTCTCATCGACTGTGTGGTGGTTCTCTTGGATGGCCCATCTGCCTACTGCAGGCCCCCTCCTCTTGCTCTAGTTTCTTGCTTACGCAAGCTACAGCAGCTGAGAGGTGATGACGTTCGCATCATACACCCGGTGCTTGGCAGTATCTGCTCAAAACCTGTTGTCTTGGGGCGCGTTCGTGCTGCACATCAACATGATGTAGGCCTCCCTCAAGGAGGGGCTTTGTCCACTGCCTTGTTCGCTGCCTTGACGCTGCTACTCTATGATGGGCTTTGCGAGGCTGATTGTGCGTGTCATGGCAAGGTGGATGACAGTATTGAATATTGTTCCTATGGCGGCATGTGGGTTTGTGGATGACATGGCCATCTTCACAAGTAACCTGCCTGCTGCTCAGCGAGCTTTACACAGCTTGTGATTGGGCGAATCGTATCCGCATGATCTTCAACCTTGGATCTGACAAGTCGGCATTGCTCTAGTTTCTTGCTTACGCAAGCTACAGCAGCTGAGAGGTGATGACGTTCGCATCATACACCCGGTGCTTGGCAGTATCTGCTCAAAACCTGTTGTCTTGGGGCGCGTTCGTGCTGCACATCAACATGATGTAGGCCTCCCTCAAGGAGGGGCTTTGTCCACTGCCTTGTTCGCTGCCTTGACGCTGCTACTCTATGATGGGCTTTGCGATACTGATTGTGCGTGTCATGGCAAGGTGGATGACAGTATTGAATATTGTTCCTATGGCGGCATGTGGGTTTGTGGATGACATGGCCATCTTCACAAGTAACCTGCCTGCTGCTCAGCGAGCTTTACACAGCTTGTGATTGGGCGAATCGTATCCGCATGATCTTCAACCTTGGATCTGACAAGTCGGCATTGCTGGATTTGCAACCCCCCGCAACCATCTTTCAAGTGACCTTCTCGTATGGCAAACCCTTGCCCGGCACCTCTTCATACAGATACTGGGTGCTCTCTTCACGGCTACCGGCTCTGTGGCAGCAGCCCTGAAAGACATAGGTGACAAGATCCATCGCAAGAATGGCATCTTACTGGGATGGGGAGGGGTGAATCAGGTTCCTCTAGCTCATCTTGTTCGCCTTTGGCTTCTCTATGTGGAGCCCATCGTGTGGTGGCTGGTTGCAGCTGTGCTGCTTACCGCTATCTAGGAGTGGTGGTTGGACTTGCTTCAGCACAAAGCGGGCCGTCAGCTGCATGGCCATTGCAAGCGCTCACCTCGTGACTCATCACTTGCTTGTTTTGGATGGGTACCTTGGCCGAGCCGCCTTGGGCTGTGAGGACGCATGATGTACGACGATGGCAACCTCATTCAGCAAATCTTTGCGTTGGCGCGCACGGTGGAGGGCACGCGGGCTCATCAGGTCAGCATCGACATCCAGAATGTTTTTGCACTTAATCAACCACCGGGCCCCACCACATTCTGGGCGACCTCAAGCGATATCGTCAAACATGCATTGAGCTAGGCTGGCGGGAAGTGGCGGATGGCTGCACTGGCCATTCTCGCCTGACACACTTTCCGCTGCAGCTTGCTGAGCGATCTGACTCCAAGAAAGGCATGTCCGATCTGTTCTCATGTATGAGTTAGCCTCTGGATTGCTCCATCGTTGTTCTTCGTTTATTCTGTGGTGGACAGCGGCTACGGGCATGTGACAATTGTGACAACTCGCCAACATTAGGCATGACTTGCTGCACATCCCACCCGTTGCATCTTGCCGCTCACTCGTTCACTCACGCGCGCGATGCCACTGTTGTTTATTCTGCTTAAAGCATGGTAGCGGTTGCCGATACCTTGCGCCACTTCCTGTGTGATTGCCCCTGTCCACGGTGGCGGACGTGGGATCCACTGACTTGACTGATGTCTTGATTCATGTTGATGTTTGGCTCACGGCAACAGCATCACGGAAGAGAGTGTGATGAGACAGTGAAAACCACTACCAAAGAGCATCACGCTTCAGGCCGAACGAATAAAATGTGGACGGCTGCACTTCGGGTGTATGGACGGCATTGAACACCAGATGTGCTGATTTCGGGAGTGGGGCCGGGGACACCAGCAAAGCTGACATTGCAATATCCGACTTTCGGGTTTGGCTGCAGCATTGGAAGCTAAATTCAAGCACTTCTGGGTGTCATAGAACACTGTTGAAATCAGGGCCGTTTCACAACCCCAACCCCCCTTCCCGAACTGCGCCAAAGCCCCCCCTTCTGCCCCGTGCCGGACCGGCGACCGGCCAGAACCTTCCTTCACCCGCCCAGAACCCCAATCTGCCACAAACCTTATTTCGGCTGAAGACCCCAAAGCTTTCGCTATTGGAAAAAAAACATCCTATCCACTGCTTTTGTTCGGACGGCTGGTATTGCAGGAGGAGTTGAAATCAGCCAAAGCTGAATTCAGAACTCCAAAACCGAAGCATTCAACTCGAACTCATCTCCTAGTTCTGAGACCGAACTCGAGCACGAATTTGTCGGATGATCCTTACACTTGGATCCACGGATAATGCGCGTGGCGACTCGCAGATCTCTTTGAGCGAAGCTGTGCTGAACTGATAGCGCCGAAACGCAATCAGCAAACATTACATTTTCCAAATCAAAGCTTGCTTGCCAAACAGGACATTGAGGCAAGTCGTCGGGGTGTAAAGTATGCGTGGCGGGATGTGGCTTCGCCAATGTTTCCGGCGACGAGAATCGTAAATCTGAGCCATGTGCTTCGAGGGCACCCCCAACCTCTGCCTTGTTTCTTCTTCTGAGATCGTTTTCTAGTCTTGGTACAGAGATAGGATTTTCGGTATACGCTGTTCCCGTTCCCTAGTTTTTGCATGTGGTGATAGGCCTGTTTTGCCGTGCTCTTTGATGCGCTTTGCCGGGGCAGCAGAGTTTACGGATCGAAAAGAAGGCGTGACTTCGAAGCGAACTTCCGCGCGCCGTGCACATTTGTGTGTCATGTGAGCCCTCTGATGGCCTTCCCCTAGCTGCCCTAGCATTGAAGATAAGCTTCTAAACAGCCACCTGCGATTTCGTTAGACTCTCCCAGACCAAGCTTCGACTAGTGACCAGTTTCATGCTAATTTCTGTTTGTTCAAGTCTTGGCTCACCGTAGCTAGCGAGATCTAGCGAGATTCTACATATATGTCAGAGAGCACCAAGTGCCGGCAGCGACAACAGGATTCCCAGCGCCATGATTGTGCATTCCAAATACTCGTGTGTCCAATCAGTTACAAGCGTACAAGGTCAAGGGAGTTTAAGTTCAGACCTATCGGCAACAAAAGCGTCAGGACCTTCCAGGATGCGTTTGTGTGCTTGTCTCGCGATGTTATCGACTCACACCGTCAGCCGTCACAGACATTGAGCATGAAGCGCGTTTTGTGATGTTTGCCTGTGGCGTCGAGCGCCGGTGCAAACGAGCGCCCATGAGTATGAATGTACTAATACTAGATTCGGGCCAAGGCCCCAAGCTGCGATCTGCCGACTCCGGGCGAACCTCCGCTCGCTCGGCTCGCTCAGCTCGCTCTGCGCGTTCTGCCAGGGATTCTCCAGCAGGTCCGGGCCCCTCCGAGATGGAGCAGGAGATCCACATGCAGATGCAGCGTCTGAGTGTTGAAGCCGCAGAGAAGTTAGCCACGGTCTTGAGCAGTGTCGACAAGACCCAGGGCCGGATTGAAGAGAAGCAAGCGGTGATCCAGGGAAGCTTGCGCGACATGCTCCAGGTCCTCCTGCAGCTGCAGTCCCTGGCCAGCCAAATCTCTAGACGTTTAGAAGGCTTTGGCCATCAAAAGAAGTCTTTTCTCGGTCTCTTTACCTTGCCAGAGCGGTGATGGAGCCGCCTCGGCTTGTACATAGGTCCCTGCAAAGGAGCTCTTGCGGAGATGCCACCTCAAGGAGCCTAATACAGGCACTTCTTGGCATCCTTGCCAGCCATCTGGGGAAAACGGCAGCTCATGCACCGGTGATGCAAGACACCTTACTTGCATGACAGCCTTTGCACTCTGAGGACGTGGCCTTCTGGTGAAAAATACACGGGCCAGTGGGAAACCAAAGGAGAGTTGCATCAGATTCGGAGGACCCAGGAAGAGGAAGGCGAGTGCACTGCACTCCGAGGTTCTTCAAGGGTGTCTTCCATGGCCGAGGGACCCGATCATGGCCCAACGGGGACAGTCCCGCAGCCGGCCAGGCGTCGCGGCTTCCCGGGTGGGTGCTTATTGATCTTGTAAGGCTACAGTGGAGAGTTCAGACACGGCGAGCCAGACGGCGCCCGGTACCAAGGATTGACCGGCCTTCGTTGCCGGTTGCCGCTTGTCTTGCCCTGTCTGATGGGTTTTCATTCGCAGCTCAGGAAGGCAAATTTGAAAGTGCTGCGGAAGGCTGCGGAGAGATGGCGTATCTGAACGCGTGTAACCCTCCAGTCTGATGTTGTGGCAACTGCGCGGACTGCAGGTTGGGTTTACACTGGTCACTGGATCCATGGCGAGATGCGGCGGGCATACAACCTTCGACTCTATTCTCTTGGCTGTGCACGGGACATCGCCTTTCTACCATGATATAGCTCTCAGGTGTGGCAATGGGCAGAAAACCTTGCCTGATGGAGTCGTTTATGCTTCAACCCAAGAAAGATTAGGCAATTTTTCTGCTTCTGCCCGAGTGTTGCTGTTTGCCGCTACAAGGTCGGGGAGTGGAGGCAAGGATGCCGGAATGGGCATGGATGCGGCCGTCTCAGAACTGACGCGCAAGCACCTCTGTGCCCTGCATAAGGCGTCTGTGTCGCACTAGACATAGACCAGGCCTTACCTGGCCGAGCGGTGCCTGTTACGAGGGGCAGCCGGCTCCTTAACTTCTGAAAGCCAGTCTGAAAGCCCAGGCGGAGCCGAGCCTTACTGCGTTTGAGAGTCGAGGCGTTTGGATACAATACCCTGAGATAGGTTTTCCCAACTTAAAACAACACATAGGCATGCAAGTGTCGGGAGAAGCGAGGCATCTCAATGACAGACCCGGAACCCGTTGTTTTCACTGGCGATGCTGAAGAGTCATAGCTGTGCCATAGCTCTGGCAATTACAGCAGAGGGGGTTGCTAACATGGCCTTCAAACCGAACGTAGATTTCCCTTTGGGCCGGTCTGACCCGCGAGCAGCGTGGCATGCCTGTATGCTGCTGCAAGCTCCTTGCCTTGATGCGAAGGTTCGTCGACGACTGCATGGAAGGCTTGCATTCCTGTAGCCTCGGGAGGCAAAAAAACCCATCAAGTGCCAGCTGTCAGGGCATGGTCGCAAAACCTTCGCTGACGGGAGTTGGTGCGAAACACTGGCCAGTTTGTGCTCCCGTCCTTTGAGCTTCCTTTCAGAAACTGGCAGCAGGAGGGTGAGTTCAAAGACGGTGAACTGGAAGGCGCCATTCCCGGCACTGCTTGCCTCATCCTGTCTTCAGCTGCTTGCTGTCTCCGTTATGTATCAAGGCCATGGCACCTTTCACTGGCCGGACTCCACCGAATTTGAGGGCCGCTGGCAGAGATCGCAAGTCGTTGGGTCCGTGCCCCAGGCCACAAACAGGCAAAAGGACGATTCTGCTGCATCCTGAGGCCTGGAACGCACCGCTTCGCCGCCCGCAGCCTGGAAATACTAGATAGATAGATATATATATATATATATATATATTATATATAGATCACGTCTGTTTGATATCCGGCCTTCAGGACGGGACGTGCATCGCCGGGAACTTCGAAGACTGTGGAGCTGCGTGGCTGCATACTCGACCAAGACAGCAATGCATCCACTGGTGCTGCCACCTGGCTTGAGCAATTGTCATGTCTTCAGGCAACAGGAGAAGGAACCAAGACCTGGGCAAACGGTTGCTAAACCCTGAGCTGTTTCAGGTCTGCATGTCCTTCAGTTGAGATGCCTTGATCGACTGCTCAGCAGAGGCAGCTATGCTGGCAGGCTGTTGCACAACCAGCATGGGTCCAAGCTTTGAAGCGTCCGCACTTCTCTTTCTCTGCTTGATCTGCTTGTGGGCTGGCAAGGATACATCACTATGGTGTTCTGCGGTGGCCAGACGGGCGTTGCTATGCACGGTGCTCGGGCTTCAGCCTTTCGCTTTGGCGTGAATATGTAAATGCAAGTGCTGCGCTCTTTCGCCCTTGGCACCGGCACCCGCCAAGCCGCACGACTATGCTGCGTGTCAAGATGTGGCAGATGCGCCCCATTCACGGGTGTACAAGAATGCTTGTGGGATATCCGGGATATCTTCTTTGCTTGTTTCTTTGCTTGCGCACGTGCACATTGCACACCGCTCGGGCCGTTTAGTTCGGCAGTACCTCGTCTCGTATCTTGTCGGGATTTGTGGTGACCGTCTGCCGCTTGTTTTCGGGAAAAAGAATCTGGGTGTCGTCCTCGTTTGTTCTTCGTGAATTTTGCAGTTGCTGCTGTCTTCTGCCCTCGCTCAGTGTTCGTTCATTTCCGGATGTCCCTCATTGTCTTTTACGGTCCCGCATCCTGGCTATCTGTGCGCGGTGCCATGCCAGCTTCACCCCTCGTGGCCCCAAGGACCTTCAAGGTAGGCGGCTCGCGAATTCCCGGGCTGGTTTAGACTGGCCAACTGACTTTGCGAAAAAGTGGATCTGCTGACAGGCAGCTGGGTGCAAAATGAGCTGGAAAAGAAAGTCAAATCTAAGTGGCAAGAAGGAAGCAGGAAAATTAGATCAGTTTTTTCAAGCTCCTGCTGGGATTGCAGCAATTTCAAAGGCCTTCTGCACATGATGGCAGCTTCACGGCATGTGTGCACAGGTATTGCTGTTTATCGGAAGCGTACAACAGAGACCGGCGTACAGAGAAAATATTCGTGCCAAGTACAAGACAGACCTCCATGATGGTCCCGATAGCGACCTACGGACCCAGGTTGTGGTTCCGGGTGCATGTTGTCCAGCAATCGCAGCGCCGGCGCCGTCCTGCGTGGATTTTGGATTTCAGTCGGAACTTCGTCTTCATTCTTCAGACTGTGCACCAGAAACGAAACATCAAGGATGCCCATTAATCCCCGGCCTCGTGCTGCACAATTGCGATGCGACCTTTCAGGGCGCACGCGCTTTCAGTGATGTGTGAGCCGCGACATGCCGCGACGCAGAGGTGGGCCACTTCAAGGACGAGGCCATGCACGGCGCGCGGGGCCCGGCCGAGACGGAGCCTCGAAGCCTCGAAGCCGCGGCCTCCTGGGCCTCCTGGGCCTCCTGGGGCTGCTGGGCGCGGGCCCCCGGCTCCCGGGAGGCTGAGATGGGGCTGAGGTCGGGATGCTTTCCTGGAGCGACAGCCTGGGCAGATGCGTCTACAAGGTGAGGGTCTAGCGGGATGCTGTCGCGTATGGAGAGAAGAACTTTAATCCAGGGCTATTTCGAAGACAACCGCTTCCATGGCCATGGCATTGGCCTGACAAGTGCTGTGAGTAGGTGTAGTGAGCCGTAGTTGGTGTTTATTTCACGTCTTTCTGTGGCATGTTCCTGCCTCATCTGACAGTTCTGGCCCAGAAATAACGAGCAATGAACTGGGTAGTAGCCTAGTAGCCACGCACGCCTCGGCTGTGGCTGTAACAGCCGCAATCATGCATGTTCCATGCGTGTTCCAACCAGCCACATAGCATTACATTGCCTTAGCGCCCGACTTTGTGAGCTCCCTGTGTGCCATGCCGCGGGCTGTGACTTAGATGCACTGTCGAGACCGCTGGAACGAACGAATCCACGAGAGCAATACCTGAAAGCAAAGGCAGGACTGCTGCACAGCCTGGGCCAGGCATCATCAGAACTTCAAAGCGAGCGACTTGCTTGCATCGCAGCATTCAGATTCAGGAGAGCAGCCTCGAAGAGCTTGAGTGTCGTTCATGTGCATTACAAGGAAGGGCACATACTCGCGAGCTCACACGACTTATGTAAGTCGTGCCACATCCGGCTTTACCCGAGGTTCTTCGGTGGAGTGAAGGCGCAGCTTTGAGTTCTGCAATCGCGACTGGTGCATGCGGCATGCCAGCTCGAGCCCACAATGGCATGCAAGGAAAGCTCCATGACATGTTGCTGTGGAGGGAGGATGGCGAAGACGACCACCAAGGTGCCATGGAGTGTACAGGCTTGGACATGAAAGTCATGAGGTTCCTTTGTGTCAAGCCAGGCATATCAAGACCTTGAAGAAGCCGAGCGAGCTTTGGCATCGGCTGCAAACGGCGAGTCTCGGTTGAAGACGGCCCCGTGCATACATCGAAGCAGTATCGGCAAAGTCACAGCTGCGAAGTGTGTCATTGCCGAGGAAAATCTCGATGGCCGGCCTTTGGCGGATGCTGGAGCCAGATCCGAAGAAGCTCGAGCGACAGGAGCTCAGCTTTGTCAGTGAAGTGGACCAGATCATTAGCTTTGGGCAGGTAAGCGCCGGATGCTTTCAGAACATGGCGCACAGCATGAATGCCGTGACAAAGCACGAACGTGACCGTGTATCTTCGAGCCATGAACTGGTCCCAAAAGCAGAAGCCACGCCAGTCACTCACACCAGCTCGCAGCAGACTCCGAAGCCTTGCATGCCAGACGGATGCGCAACCTATCATATACGATGCCCTAGTAAACTAGTAGGCTTCCTCACTTTGGTGCCTTCGGAGCCATAGCTGTCAATGAGTTGTTCATGGATTTCTCTGCCCCGTTCCCAGGTATTTGGATCCGTTGACGGAAAGAGGTGCAGTTGCAGGATTCGTTGTTGTGAGCGGTGGTTGATCGGGTCGCTGGCCAGGACCCGCAGATGTTCTCGAGAGAGAAGGGCCGATAGACGCGGAAGAAGTAGACTCCGTGCAGAGCAGCTTGGCCGATTCCTTGGAAGGCTGAAGACGGCAGCGAAGCTTCTGTCGAAATAAGGTGCCACTACCAGGACGGACTTTCCAAGTCCTCCCGGAGAGGCCAATATCTGCTTTAGACACGATGGCTTTGCATTGGCACTTCGCATTTTGCAGTGCGGATTTGGCCGTCCAGGGCTCGATGCTGCCAGCAATTCCAGTCCCTCAGCCGAATGAACAGCTCGGGAGATCTGCATGACCAGCTCAAGACGTGCAAGCGTTGTCACAAAGTCCATGTATTGGCCGTACTTGCAAAACCGAGGTTATGCTCCTTGCAGGCAGGTGCTTGCTAACGGACTGTCTGTGCATGCGAGCCTCCGTGTTTGCTGTGAGGCAGGCAAGCTCCAGACTTCCTCTGACCGCCAGCGTGGAAAAACTGATGGCACGTAGCTGTAAGAGCATACTTGTGGCTGCAAGGGAGTGGCCAATACTCAGACCTTTCTACATTTGATGCCACAGGTTTTGACTGATGCCTACATACCTAGAGGCACAGAGTCGAGAAGCACGGGTTTTGATGCTATAAGCTGCATAAAGAGTCGAAACGACGGATGGAGACACACACACACACGTGCACAAAGTTAATCAAACATACCCCGCCACAAAATGGACGTATGGGCAGGTGGAGCATTCAAGGGACAAGCAGCTACAACTACCGGGATACCAAAAAAGACAACTCGATACCAATCTGCATGGAGGCACAAGTAAATGCACACATGAATAGGTCAAGAGTTCGATCGAGAAGCACTTGAAGGTGAGGTTTTTGTAGCAGGATATCAGAAGCTGTGAATGTTTCAGGTATCGGCAAGTACAAAGCAGCAAGCTTTCGGCAAGGACGGGTCAGATAGGTTCAGTGCTGAGCTTGTAGCTCTAACACTCCCGTGCTCCGAGCGCTGCTCTGGCCTTGGCCGAATCTTGGCTCCGAATCTTCGTTCAAGGCATTTCAAGGTAGGCGGTTCGCTAGTCTGTGCAAGCGGCCTGAGGCCAAAGTTGACATAGCAGCTGCAATGAGCTGGCCGGCTGTCCGCGCTTGTGCGACTGCTACTGTGCAGCTCCATCGCTGGGCAAAAGATTTTGCTGAGTTCTTGCGAGGTACGCTGGGGTTCCTCGCCCTTCAAACAGGGCCAAGCGATGCACTGCCTCTTGCGCTTCCCGTGCCCTTCGCGCAGGCTCGTAGATACGCCGCAGCTGGCAGAGCCACTCCAGAGGGATTCAGGCCTGACAGGCCAAGGTCTCGGGACACACAGGTCCAGGAAAACGTGCAAAGGCCGCCCTGTGGGCTGCTGAGCTGCCAGCCCTTCGTCTGTGTGACCTCGGTGTCGATGATCGACAGGAGGCACATTGCCGGCAGATGTCGCAACACCACGACGACGCAGTGATGTATGTTTCGAAGCATATGTGTGAACATTGGCAAAAGAGGGTTCTTGGGCAGGGCCAATGCGAGAGCTGAAGACACCGCGGCATCTCTCCATGTGCCTGCGGGGCGTTTGGGAACAAGCATCTGCCGGCCAGGGCTGCCCAGCTCAGCCCGAGCATGGCGGTGCCGGGTTTCTTTCTACCGTCTTCACGTGGCGGTGCCTCGGTTTTTCTCAGACGGTGTCATGCAGATGCCCACTGCATTGTTACGTTACTGACGTTCGCTTCCTGATCGATGTTAGGCTCAGCTTATGGGTTGCCTTGTGGGATGTAATCCATCTCGAGTGGGGTCGTGTCAAAATATGTGTATGTGTGTGTGTGTGCGTGTGTGGGTTGGCCGATGGCCGAGATCAGATGCTCGATGAGCGGATGCATTTGAGCCCGTGGGCGACTTCCAGTCGAGAACATGAGGAAGAGAAGGGTTGGAGGGGGAGGGGGGGGCAGGAACACCCAACCATTTTACATGAATGTTTTGTTTGGCCCACCAGGCGGCTCCTCGATCTGTACGTCTGGTGTCCGCCCGGAACCAGAAGCCACGTTGGGAGGGTACAGAAGAAGAGAGAAGCAGAGGGAAGGGATGAACCATCGGTTCGAGATTGATTTCAAGCTGTTTACACCGAGCTTCCTACAGTGGGATCCTGCATATGTGTTCGCGCTTCATGAGCACCACATTCACCGTCTGGCCCAGTCTTCGGTTTCTTTTAGCTATGGTGAGGCTCCGCACTGGCCCGATACACCAGCACAAGAAGATAGCTCATGCAGTCACCGTGTTTCTTGAATCTCCAGCAACCTGAAAAGCTGCACATCATTGCACAACGTCATTACAAAACTGTGCAGTGCAAGAAAGGACACATGCAGCATGGAGCAGGCAAACTAAAGCGACATGTAACATACCAAAGCATGCAACCAACACAGGTGGAAAAGCTGCATGAGAATACTCTGTTGAAACAGATCCTGTACAGCATGCCGTCACAACTGTCGCAGGATGTCGCAGGCACAAATGACCGATGGGAACTCAAATCGAAGGAGAGTTGAAGCTTCTGTTCAACACTGCATCCTCCAACGGCTGTGTCATCAGTAGAATCTGTTCGTGTAGATGGCATTGGGTGCCAAAGTCGTTGTCGCCGTCGCCGTCAGTCTCGTTCTCACCGCAGTTCCGTTGCTTTGCTCCTCGTTCGGCTTAGCCTCATGCTTATCCTGTGAGTCTGCATCTCTGCTTGCTGCTTTCTCCGGTTCATTATGAGTCTTCTCACATCAGGCACGTCGCCTTGCTGTGCTGCTTTGCTTTGGAAATGCCTTTGGTTCAGCCCAAGCTTCGCATATGATAGTTTCTGCCATCAGCATCCTCGCAATCCTGCTTCGGGCAAGAGTCATGACGTGGAGAAGTTCGGACGCTCTCCTGGCATGCTGACAGTCGGAACGGTCCAGGGTTTGTGTGATCGCTCTCATCTGTAAGAGCTGCTGCTGTCTGTGGAGCTTGGTGGCTGACAGGCATGGGCATGGGCTTTAAGACTTTCCATGCTGTGTGCGTTCGTCCCGGCCATGGTTCTGCCGTGCGAAGGTTGCACTCGCGTGATGTAGCGATGAGACAAGGTATGTCCTGAACAATCTGCGGGCACTCCTGGCCGCCGACCTGGCCGTGGCCGCCGAGGCGGCCACCCCACGCACTTCATCGCTTCCAAGTGGAGCAGCTCAAGCCATCCTCTCCCTACTGCAAGCTCTCGATGCCTGGCTTGATGGAGCAGACATTTCATGCTTGGCAGATTGAGACAGACTGTGTGAATCACGGAGGATCGTTTGATGCAGATGCCAATTGTCGCACAACTGGCAGACAGGCGCTGAGCGGCTCAGAGCTTTTCAATTTCGTGCTGTGCAGTGTGCAGAGGAGCCTTGTCCTGGCTGGCCTTCTCAGGACATTGCCACAGCGGCTCGTCAGCTTCTGACCGAACTCAGGCCTCGCGAAGCTCAGCCAGGCTCAGGCGGTGCTGTGTCTTGATTCCAGAACCCAGAGGCCGCACTTAGAAGCTCGACCACCTCTCGTTCTCATGGTTCCAACGCTGCAGCCGGCTGCTACCATCCGGAGATTGCAAGACATGCTCGCAGGATCTTGCAAGACTCCCGCACTTTGTCAGCCCATACCGAAAAGAGTCAACAACTAAGGCACATGGGCCGGTATTGGACATGGCCAGCTGATGGTCGGACCAGCATCTGACTCACATATACTGAATACAGTTCGTTTTGGTTTGAGTCGTGTAGCCTGGCATCACCCAGGCTTGCGCGATGCTGCTTTCACATTGCGTACTGGGGCTCAGATGCCGGCGATTGGCTTTGGTACCTGGCGCCTGTGGGCGAAGGATGCGTACCAGCCCGTCCGCTGGGCACTGGAGGTAGGCTACCGGCACATCGATACGGCTGAAGGCTATGCCAACGAGGCAGAGATTGGCCGTGCAATTCTGGACAGCGGTGTCCCTCGGAGCGAGATCTTTCTGGCAACAAAAGCCTCATCAGTGCCAAAAGGGCTTGCTGACATTTCCTATGCATCTGAAATTTTTGCGTTCCAGCTCGGGCAACTAGGGACGGATTATGTAGACTTGTATATGATGCACACACCGCCATCCGACCCGCAACTGCTGCAAGAAGTTTGGAGAGTAATGGAGTCTTTCTACGAGCAGGGCCGGGCAAGGGCACTTGGCGTGTCCAACTGCGACGTGCGAGAGCTGCAGCAGATTCTTGAGTTCGCAAAAGTTCCCCCAGCTTATGTGCAAAATCTGTTCAAGATCTATAAGCCCGGTGAGCAGATTCCAGTCGAGGATGTCGTTGCCTTTGCGCACAGAAATCAATTAGTCGTTGTGGGATACTCAGTTCAAACAGAATGGCCACACATCATGGTGCCATTGCAAGATCCACACCTTCTGACGATTGCCAGCCACGTGGGTAGAACACCTTCCCAAGTCTTGCACCGTTGGACGCTCCAGCGTGGTGTCGGTGTAATCCCAAAATCGGCGACGCGTCAGCGAATTTTGGAGAACTCGCAACTCCTGGACTTCGAGCCGCCCAGCGACAAGATTCGACAGAACGACTGTAGTGATAGGGTTAAGACTCAAGACACTTAAGCACAGTCCGCGGCAGGACTGTTGCCTTGTGGAAGCTTTCATGGCTAACCTGCTTTTGCTTGCTTAAGGCTTAATGGACCTTTTGGCGAGACCGCAAAGCAACGCAAGGTTGACAGACGAGGTGATGCGACTTCTCGATGGATTAGCTACACTTTCCGAATCCGGTGCGAGCGAAATCAAGCCACTGCAGGAGGACCGTGGTCACGCCAGAGTCAGGGCAGTACTCAGTCTTGAGTCCACGCGGGCATGCAATTCAACCTCAGCATACCTCAGCTAAGGCGAAAGCATAACTCCCCGCGCAGATACCCCAAAGATTCGAGCTTTGACCAACTGCACATAGGAGCGCTGCAGGCGTGATTTGGCCGAAAAGGTAAACCAAGCCGACGCCACTGCGGAGCTGTGCGTTGGATTGCAGATAGGATGGGCAAAGACGTCAACGGTGCTCAGAGCCTGCTCGGGAGCAATCGATACAATGCATACTTCAATCTCGCACAGAAGTGCAGCTCCCGGTTTGCCCCGTCAGCTCAGCTGCCGGAAAGTCGATTTTGTGCTTGTCTGCCAGCGCCGCAAGCAGCAAGCATGCACATCTGTCGGCACCACTATACCCTGGGAGAATCGCAGAGACTGTGTGAGTGTGCGCGTGCGCGCGCGTGTGTGTTTGCGTGCGCGCATGCGCGTGCGCGTGAGCGTGCGCTCGTGCGTTCGCGTGTGCGCGAGCGTGAGCGTGAGCGTGTGTGTGTGTGTGTGTGTGTGTGTGTATGTGTGTGCACGTGGGTGTGTGTTTGTGTGTGTGTGTGTGCGTGTGATAGCGGGTGTGTGTGTGTGTGTGTGTGTTTATATATGTGTGTGTGTGTGGGTGTGTGCGCGACTGTGTGTTTGTTCGTTTCCGATGAGAATCGCGCGTGCCATTGCACGAACGTACGGCTTCACCGGCTTCACCTGCCGTGAGCTGATGTTACTCTCTGTTCGTTCAGGACATTTTTGGTCTGGCCAGGGTCTCTGCCTCTGCTGCCCCGGGCTCGGTGTGTTTTCTAGTGATTGCCCGCTGTGCTTGCCATCGTGGTGCGAGGAGTCTGCAGCGCAAGCCAATCGCTCAGCTTCCCGTACGCGGCAAGTTCAATCATGCATTGTGGCCCTGGCAGAGGAGGCAAGGGACAAGCCGAATGTCCTCGGGCAAGGATCCCAGTTCTGAGTTCTCCGCCTGTCTCGCGCGGCTGCTGCACTTGCGTGCTGTAGGCTACAGGACCCTCGCGATAAGGGCTTCCCGTATGCGGCAATCAGTTTCCCTCTCGGGAGCGAGGATGAAGTGTTTCCCCAGTGTTTCCCCAAGATCTCAATTTGCACCTCGATGCAACCGAGGGGACCACTTGCTTGGTGACCCCGTGGCATTGGATCCGGACCTGTGCCGGCAGGTATGAACGGACTGCCGGAGAGTGTTATCGGTGTCTGCTCTGCCTGCTTGTTTGTTTGAGGTGTTGGTGCGATGTGGTAGTATTGGCCTATGCCAAAGAGAAGCATCACAAAAGGAACAGAAAGATCCAAGTTGTCGGGTCCGGACTTGTACGGCATAAGTGGTGGACGTGCAAAAGCACGCTGGGAAAACCCACTAGGGCGGGCATGTTGTCACACTGCAGGAAGGTTTCCATAAGTCTCAGTTGTTTTTTTTCAAATGGCTTGCGCCTGCGATTGAATGAACACCTCCCAGTCTGTCGAGGTTTCGTGCTAGTACCGGCAGCGTTTCAGAAGATGCCCAACGTGTGTTTGATTTGCTCCTGCCCAGCAGCGTGTCATGCGAGACTGATGGTACTTACAACTTAACAAATCGCATTGGTTAAAGATGTCGTGCCACTGTTCGCCTCTGATATCTTTGCTGTTGCCTTGAAGTCAACATTATCAAGTCTATTCTTGCAGGCCACAGTGTCAATCCTTGGTCTTCGAACGAAATTGGCACCCCTTCCAGGTCTTTCAGGCAAATTGTCTTCGAAAGACAAACCCTGGCCGACAACGACCATGGTAGATTGGTTTAGCCAGTTCGGCTTTGTTCCGAGCGTTTCGAATATCGCCGGCCTGGAACAACGGCACAAACCTGTGATATCATGACGGTTGTGATGAAGTCCATGTCTGGTAAAGGACCGTAAGTCGTCTGGCTTTGCCGAGTTGTGATTCGCGAAACAGACGTTGTAAAAGTAACGTCACCTGGAGTCCATGCTGCATGGTCAGGCCTGTCTCAACGAGCCGCGCTGTGCAGCTTGGGAAGTCTGTGCCCCTATCAGCCCGGAGGCAGGCTGCAGCGATTGTGCAAGCGTGAAGATGCTCTTGCTGAATTCCGTTTTCGAGGCTGGCTGCGGGGGCTGCTACCTGATCGGCCACGTATCCACACCGCCGATGAGAATTCCCGGTTGGCATGCCCCAGACCCGGTGTGTCTCGTGTTGTTATCGTCCAAAGCATGTTTCAACGAGGCTGCTGTTGAGCGAAGCCCTGCATAGTGTCGGCGAATTGCTTGCCTCGCAACGACCGAGAAAAGCGGAAAAGGCCTTGCAACAGATGCTTGATGTGGCACACCTTTCTGGAGTAGCTGCAGCCTGGACCAATCTCAGGATCCTTGGAATGGTCGAACACTGCTAGCTATGAAGGCGAGTTCAGGCAAGCCTGCTGTTTGCACGATGCCGACGTCGAGTCTTGTCGAGTCTACTCTAATCTTATGACCCTGCTTAGCAGGTTTGGTGAGTACCACGGCGCCGGGCGCTTCGTTTGGCAAATTCCCAAGCTGTTGTTTTTGCTGTCACTGCTCCTACGGCTTCGCAGCAGCTGTGCAGGCCTCAGGGCAGTGTCTATGATGGTGCCTGGTCAGAAGGATCGATGAATGGTCCTGTGCTCAGTAGTCGAAGGTTCCACGAAATGGGCACAAGAGTAGAGTGGCCAAGCTGATCAGCCAAGTGCCAGAGAGAGATTGGGCCCGGAACACTTTGCACAAGGTCGAGGGGTGCTTGGGAGTGTCGGTGACGACTGGCTCCAGCTGGCATCCCAGGTTTATTTGGCACTGCAGCGGTTGCCCACAAGAAATGTCGAAACGTCTGGCAATGGAAATGACTGCACGTAAGAGAGGCCCTTCGTGTACGTCGAGCACTTGGCACATAGTGGCAACAGCACGACATGCCATCTCCAGGGCATGATCACACGATTGTCATACTCGGTGAAAAGCCGAAATTTGAGTGATTGGCAGAGGGGAAAAATGCAAACCTTGAGGTCGGAGATTTTCATCACGGAGAGCTCCAAGGCTTGATGTTGGGCAAAAACCTGTAATCTGAAGCTCTGCACGGCTCCACTCACTATGTACAATTCAACCATGCATGGGGTGGATATGTCGTGCTTCGGGGCATTTTTGTTGGCTGAAGCGTGGGGGCCCGAACAGATGTCAAAAGATACCATGCAGTTCCATGCATGCTGTCTAGTGCAGGCCATAGACGGACAAGTGCAGCCACACTCCAGACACCGCTGGACCCAGAGTCCAAAACAGTTCTGCGGTAGTGCCCAAGCCATGGCAGTTTGTACAGATGAGTCAGATGTCAAAGCGGCCACCGCACTCCTACATCACTGCCGAAAGGCTCATCAAGACCTGATGAAGTGTGCAAGGGACGAAGAGGTGTTGCTCTCCAGGCTCTGCTTCCAGCTCCAGCAGATACGAGAAACAGACCCCGCGGCAGCCAACCCAATCTCCAGAGGAGTCGTGGGTCAGAAGCCTGTGGTGAAAGCAGAAGAGACTCTGCAGGCCTCCCGGCATGCAGATGACAGGTGTGTAGACCTGCCAAGAGACCTACCAGAAGTTGAGTCACGCGCCTCACACGGTTCAAGTGAGTCTCGAAGGCGTGCAAGTCTGCGCGAGTTGAAGGAGAAAGGTTTGGACAGGATTCCATCCGAGAGTGCTGAACCGCAGTATGCTATTGTTGGTATCAGTGGCGCTGGACGACCTGTTGTCCGCAACGGCTTGATCAACATGCTGAGATCCAACTTTTCTTCATCGAAGGAAGAGTACAGGTGGTGGTGTTCCAGCATGCTGGCCCAGTGCCTCCTCTCCATGACCGTACTCCTCGAGCGCCTGTGGTCGCTGGAAGAGCCAGAACGCAAAGGTTGCCTTGCCAGGTTTGTGAGCAGCACAGTCTTCGGCATACTGTCCACGGCCGTGATTTTGCTGAATGCGTGCTTCATCTTGTACACAACAGATCTTGAGATGCAAAGCATCGACCAGCCTTTGGTGGAAATGGACGCAAACGTCAAGCTGATTGAGCTGCTCCTGGCCTCCGTCTACGTACTGGAGGTGATCCTCAAGCTGGCAGTGCATAAACTGTACTACTTCTGGAATTCCGAGATGGCATGGAACCTCTTCGATTTCATGCTTGTCGTCTTTTCGATTTTCGAGAATCTCCTGGTGCACGGCTTGCTGCCAGGGCAGCAGGTTTCGTCAGATGCGGCCTCGAGCGTTAACCTGGGCTTCCTGCGTCTCATCCGTCTTTGCAAGATTGTGAAGATCTTACGCGTCTTCCGAACATTGAAATTCTTTAGCGAGCTTCGCTTGATGTTGGACTGTGTCCTGGGCTCGCTTATGAACGTGATGTGGTGCGTCATCCTGCTGGTTTTTGTTATGTACGTTTTCGGCCTGCTGCTGCAGCAGGGAATCGTGCAGTACTTCATGGAGGAGAACGTCACCCCGAAGGCAGCGGGTGAGTTGAGGGACTACTTTCAATCGGTCGGTGACACCATCATCACGCTGTTCCAGTCGTCAACTTCTGGAGTGGACTGGAATGAGCCGTACCAAGCATTGAAGAACACCGGGCAGCTGTTGCCGAACTTGTATCTGGCATATGTCGCCTTCGTTTTCATTTCGGTGTGGAACATCGTGACCAGCACCTTTGTGGAAAAAGCATTGAAGCTGGCTCAACCTGATGTGGACATGCTTATCTTGGAGCAGCAGCTCCAGGATTTTGAAGACTGCAAAATGCTGTCTAAGCTCTTCCAAAACATGGGCCCCAAAGACGATGATGGAAGCGGGCGCATCGGAATGAAGGAGTTCGGACGCTTGGTTGAGACCTACGAGTTCAGATCGTACCTACAAACCAAAGGCATTGACATCAAGAATGCGGAGACCTTCTTCAAAATGCTCGTGGAGCTACAGGGCGAGAATACACTGGATGCAGGCACTTTTGCCAATGCTTGTGTACGCATGAAGGGAGCGGCAACGAGCATCGATCTGCAGACCGTCATGTTCACCACGCATCTCATGAACAAAGAACAGCGCAAATTCTTCCAGTCTTTGCATGGTCGCCTTTCCACCATTGAGTCCATTCTTCTCGAAGAGCCCTGTGTGAGCCAGGGCCCTGATGGCATCCCTAGTGGCCCCAGTGTGCAGATGCCCGCACGCGAGGACACCTCCTCATGGCACCGGCTTTGATTTTGCCAATCTGAAGTACAGCTTCAGGAGCGGCCAAAAGCCGGGGTTTCACAGTTCAAAGTTCACAGCCAGTGGCTTAAGCATTCGTGGTTTTTCCAGCAAGAATCCCGCAAACGTGGCAAGCTTGCAACATAATTAGACAGATTGAGCAAACACTGTGTGCGTCTTCGAAAAACGATCTCGGCAGTTTCTGTGATTGGGTTTTGCAGATTGAAGCTGGCATGCGGAGTTGCCACCTTGTGCCACTTCATGTTACTTCAGATGCTTGACTGGCGTTCTGGTCCGACAGCCTACAGCGAAGTAGCACCTTTGCGTGTTTGCTTCAGCAGATGTTGACATCGGCATGGATCAGGTCTAGGCCGCCCTAAGTAAAGAAAGCAGAGCATAAACGGGTTGCAGCAATTGAGCGGTCAAGGCGAGACTCTAATTAGTCGCTGTAGCACCTTTTGCCATGTCGCTGACAACATGGTGTCCAGGATTCACCGTGAGCAGTGGCTCGCACGAAGAGGATGAGAGCTCCACGGATTTACTACAGCAATGCAGGGCCATGCATCAGGATCTAATCAAGCTGGCGATGGACGAGCAGGCTCTTTTGTTCAAGCTGTCCACAGAGGTGCAGCGGGCGAAAGAACAACCGGAGGCCATCCAGATCGACATTGAGAATGGCTCTGACAGTGTGCACGACTACCGCATGTCGGTGGAGGAATCTCATGTTCTGTCTGATTCGGCAGCTGAGATTCCTGTGGTTGCAGTGATTCATGAGACAGGGGAGCGACGGCTGCTACGGTTTGGCAGCCGCCAGAGCAAAAGCTCTGATGCAATTTCTGATCCTTTCGATGCCAAGCGATCGATGACCTCCGCTTCTCTCTCGTCGGACAAAGTCTCAACCAAGAAGTCGCGAGCAGGCTTGGCCGGCGTGGCAGGCTTGGACCTTCCATCCCAGCAGCAGAAAGGAGTTCACAAAGTTCCTTCCGACAACAGTCGTCCCTGCTACTCGATCAACGGCATTCGAGATCGGGAGAATCCATATCTACAGACTAGTGTTCTCAACATACTCAGGTCGAACTTTTCATCATCTGCAGACGAGTACCGATGTTGGTGCTCCGGCCAGTTGGCTAGGACTGTGCTGTCGTTGACAGGCTTTTTGGAGAATTGCTGCTCCCTGGAAGAGCCAGAGCGTCGTGGACGTCTGGCACGCTTTGTGAACAGCACCCTCTTCAGCGTGTCTGCTGCAAGTGTGATCCTGTTGAATGCGGCCTTCATCTTGTACACCACAGATCTCGAGATGCGCAACATTGATCAGCCGCTCAACACCGATAGCAATGTCTACTTAATCGAGCTGGTGCTTGCATCCTTCTACGTGGTTGAGCTTCTCCTGAAGTTGATGGTCCACAAGATCTATTTCTTCTGGAACGGTGAGATGGCATGGAACTGGTTCGACTTCTTCCTCGTAGTCTTCTCAATTATTGAAAACCTTCTTGTCTATGATCTACTACCAATTGCAGCTGCGGCCGCGTCAACGGATGGTTCGGGCTCCGCAGATGGAAGTTCGTCGTCTAGTGTGAACTTGGGCTTTTTGCTGCTCGGCTTGTTATTGGATCGTTGTTCTTTGGCAAGCCTTCCGGCCACAATAACCTGCTCGACTCGTGTTTTTCTTGAAAATGACTTGCTTCCAGCTAAGGCGCTTAATTCGTCTGTGCAAAATTGTGAAGATTCTGCGTGTCTTTCGGACGCTGAAGTTCTTCAGCGAGCTACGTCTGATGTTGGACTGTGTGCTGGGCTCCCTCATCAATGCCATGTGGTGTGTGATTATGCTGGTCTTTGTGATGTATGTCTTCGGGCTCCTGCTGCAGCAGGGGATTGTGCAGTACCTAATGGAACAGCGCACAACTATGTCACCAGAGGCGGAAGAGTATGTCTTTACGTACTTTCGCAGTGTTTTCCGCACGGTCGTCACTCTGTTCCAGTCGTCAACATCTGGAGTGGATTGGAATGAGCCCTACAAGGCTTTGGAGTTTACAGGGGATGTCATGCCAGCAGCATTCTTAGTCTACATTGCTTTTGTCTTCATTTCGGTGTGGAACATCGTGACTAGCACCTTCGTGGAAAAAGCTTTGAAGCTGGCGCAGCCAGATGTGGACATGCTCATTCTGGAGCAGCAGTTGCAAGACTTCGAGGATTGTAAAATGCTTGCCAGGCTTTTCAAAAGCATGCGCCCGACGGACGACGATGGCAACGAGCGCATCGGAATGGAAGAGTTCCGTCAGTTGGTCGAGACCTTCGAGTTCCGCTCATACCTCCAAACCCGTGGCATCGACATCAAGAATGCGGAGACTTTCTTTAGGATGCTCGTGGAGTTGCAGGGAGAGCCAATGATAGACGCTACAACTTTTGCCAATGCGTGTGTCCGCATGAAAGGAGCAGCTACTAGCATCGACTTGCAGACGGTGATGTTCACTACCCATCTCATGAACCAGGAGCAGCGAAGGTTTTTCCAATCAATGTACAACCGCTTGACGACGATTGAGACAATTCTACATGATGAACACCCTGGAAGTCAGCACGGAGAAGACTCAATTCCAGGTCCTTTTCTGACGCAAAGCCTAGATGAACGAACTGACGCTCTAAACACCGAAGGTGCGGTCAGAACCGGTTCTTTGCGTCTGTAAGGCATGCGATCGACTCATAGGCCAGTCATCAGCACTCAATTCACGTGACCCGTTTCGCCCTCAGACTTTTGCACGTTCAGTTGTAGTTGCTCCCCTGACAAAGCGTATGCCTATGTTGTATGTTTCACCACTCCTGCCTTCCGAAGATCACGAAGGACCCTTGGCCGGTGAAACTGGCCGGAGCTGAGATTTGCCTTGAAGCGCGCTGTAAAAGACAGGGGTTCGCAGCTTTGGGTGAACTTGGTGCGGAAGCGACATGAAGCGACCCCCTTGATGAGCATCGGGAGGCTTTGGTTCGGTCCTGGACCTAGCACTTATTTGCAGCTTTCCTTTTGACAGAGTTTGCCACAGCAGTTAGGCTTGACCCAGTGCATTTGAGCTGCTTCTCGCGAGGTTACTTTCCTGAGCTCTGATGGTGATGGGCAAGAGGCCGTAGTTGCGATATCGTATCAATATGTTTGAAACGGTAGTCTTGCCACAGACGTATGCTGCAGCACCGTACGCTGCAGTGGCTGCTGCATGTCATTGGCGCCGAGAAATGCGCTTCTTCCATCGACGCGAAATCCGCTTCTTCCATAGACAGGACCACTACATGGGCGAATTCCTGAGCTCGCAGCTTCACGGCACTGGCCCGAAAGTTTGCACAGTGCGATCTCGAGTCATGATTGATACCAGCCCAGCTTGGCTAAGGCTATGGCGTTATCACTTCTGTGGCGCCTGCTGGGTTTCCGACAAAATTCACGATAGTAGGAATGAGATTTTCAGGTGCCAGTTACATATAGTCAAACGATACTTCGTGCGTCTTGGAGTCGTGGGCAGACGCCCTCATCAGGGCACCAGGCGCAAGAGGCTAGGAGGTCCAGAGGAGCCACCTCACTGCACCCTGCACGCGAACATGAGATCTGTGTCATCCAACTTTCTCTCTTTGACTTCTTGGTATGCAAGGGCAGCCACATTAAACAACCGTTGCTGTTCCGTTTGGGAGCAGAAGGTTCGGGATGGGGGAGATCACATCATAGGGTCTATTCGGGGTGGGTGGGGGGGGGGGTGGTTAAGAAGCAAGCATCCCGGCTTATCCAGACAGCTTGTGCAAGAGCGTATTGGATATGCGTCTTGGCTTACGAGGGATAGCACTCGCCATGGCTACTCCATCCCTTCAGCTGGAGCGACGGACTCTCAGTTTTGCCCTAATGTAGGCTAGTGCATCCTCGATTGTCGAAACCAATTTTCCATCCTTGCGCATAGGTTTTCTGGACGTGGGCGGCAGGCTCATCGCTGTATACGATGTCAATGTACCGTGGCGAAGACAGGCAAATAGTAGTAACAAACAGTCACTCTCAGTGGTAATGAGTTGTTTCGTCTCGGCGTCGCTACAGCCAGCACCTAGGAAGCAGAGAGACAATGGTCCCTTTCCGATATCTGGCCAATGCTGCTGCCGGAGACAGCTCGTTCAGAAGACGAAGCTCCTACCAGGGAAACTCGGAGAACCCGCAGAAAAAACCAGAAGAGATATTTCCTGAACCAAAGAGGAAAAGGCATCGAGGAATACCACCAGAAAGTGTTTCCAGGAATTGCAGCATCCGGGTCGCATTTCATTCCAGGCACAATGCATAGATTATGGATAGAATGGCTTATGGTTACTGGTTGGTTCGGGACCTCAGCCTTTTGCCTGAGGTACGAGAAGCGCTTCCGGTTCGTTCCAGCATCCGGCTGCAGGATGGAGTGTTGCTGGAGCACTCGCTTCACACTAGGCTTTTGCTGGCCACCCTGGCGTGGGCACTTAGCCCCACAAGGTACCCAGAGAGCGTAGGCCGGTCAGCGCCATTCGTTCGGGATCTTCTGTCGTCGTCCTTGGCCGGGGACGGGGTCAAGCTTCTGGTGTGCTGTGTGAGCACCGACGCCTGGGAAGAGACGAGTTGGACTTCCGGGGTTCTTTCCCAGGGGGATATTTGGGGCAATGCGAATTTCATAGACGTTGTTCGACAACTGTGGAACCAGTACCTGGCACCTTGGGCAGCGTTTGTCGTTAATCTCTGTTTGTCCTAGGACACACCGTCGTTGTCAAAGTGATCACGAGGTGACACGTCCTTGTCTGTAGTTCCCTGTGCCAGCAAGTGTCATTCTTGGAAATGCCCATAATGCCACCGAGGTCTCCGCCGACTGTCCTTGGGTGGGCACACCGTTTACGCGACCTCACCTGGCCGACTTGCTGGCTTTTGCGGTGCAGACGTACTTCCTCTGAAGTGGCCGGTATCATGTGTGTGTCGTGATGTTAACTAACAATGTCCCTTCTGTACAACTGGAGGCAAGCACGTGGACCGTACTTCAACCGAGTCGCTCTCACCGTTTTCAATCTCGTGGCGCAGCTCCAGCACGTCATTGTCATTCCCTTAAATGTGATGGTCGTTCCGAGCTAGCCTCTGAAGTCTTTCCTATCGTGGATGACCAAGGACAGCAGGATCATGAACATTGCTGGGGCGAAGGATTCGCATCCTAGGCTCAACACGACAACTTCAAAGACAACTTGTGCAGAGAGACACGCGGCAACACGAAAGGTTCGCAGCAACGAGGCAGCGCCTAGCGTCGAGCATCAATTACCGAATCTCTAGAAACCTTAGATACTATAGACCAGAACCATGACAACCCGGCAGGTGCAGCTGCTGCGCCAAGCCCTGAACGAGAAGAAGATGAAGCACTTGCAGCAGGTGGCAACAGAAGAAATGGCAGCACACACAGTCGCGGAGTTGTTCAGCAATATGTAATTGAATATTCTACGGAGCGGTTACGAAAGCCTTAGCTCTTGAGGTTGCTTATGGGCTGCGAACCCGACGGGAGTTTGAGAACCAGAACATCTTCTGGGTATCTTGCCTGCATCGTACCTACTGATTAGCTCAGGCTAGCTCGGTCTTTCCAGTGCGTTGGGATGCCCTCCCCCACCCCCACACATGCGCAAGAGGTCTACTTGGATGGCTCCAATGTCGGCAAGGTGCCGACCGAGCTCTTTGTGCATTTCTGCCCTGCACTTGGTCAGGGATGTAGGCCTCGCGACTCTTCAATTTAAGCTCTGCCAGCTCGTGTTTGTTGTGAGATACAGGTCCTTGGAAGAACTTGGCAGCAATGGGGAGACCCTTGGCCAGGGTCTCACGACGACGGTGTCAAGTCGTATGTCTTAACTTACGCAGTGGGCAACCTGCTCGTTGTCCTTTGGTGCGTTTCTGGCTCCACGACTCAGAGTGATAGCAGCCACTGCTGTCAGTTAGATTAGCTGTGGTTGCGGTCATATGATTACACATGGCTGGCTGCTCGAGCAGCACGGCATCTGTGCCCACTGATTTGCTCACGGAGAGCGAGCGATCTCATCCTGTGTGCAAGAAGATGCAGCAGCCAGAGGTCGGACAGCTCGCACGCAAGCCAGGATGCAAGGCCCCTCATGTTGTCACTTCCTTTGCAGGAGACCTCTGCCTACGTCGGTTCGCTGCCAGCGCAGCACAAGAACGTTTTGGAGGTGCGGTCAGATTGACTTCCTATCATGGCATGGTATTACTATTGTTGTTACGAATGTTCTTCTACGCACGCCAGCACCAGGTCGTGTGGTCGAAGATCGTGGCAGCCGTTGGCAAGCAACGGCTGCAGGACCGGACCCGGCCAGTTTCAACCGGAAATCATAACAGCTCAGCAGACCCGTATCCATTGCAGGACTCCTGCTGGCGGTCTTTCTCTCGAGCCAGCTCAATGTGTACCGGAGCATATACTGCTGAGATGGGCCTGGCACTGGCTCTGCGGACAGTGAATGAATCCGGCTGTTTTGATTTCATTGCTGACATAGCCTCCTGCGCCACATGGGTCGGGGACTAAGTTCACTGTAGCAGGCCATTGACTAGAGAGCTCAACGTCTGATGTGCCCATGCCAGTCATATGTCTCCTGTGCTAAACAGAGGACCCGTTTCAAATGTGAAGCCCCTCGCCCCAAACCACACTAATGAATAATCCCCAGCCTACTTACTTATTAGCCGAGTGGAGTTTGCTTAGTACCCATAATACTTAATGCGCCCGCTAAACACTGGACCCCGGCCCCACCAGTAAAACCCTTAGTAGATGTGAGTTCTTCCGCTCAAGCTAAATTCTAAAGAAATCAATCAGTGACAGTGCGGCCTAAACATAAGAGAACAGCCCAGGAGCAAGACAGCCACTGCCGGCAACTCATCGCTGAGCACCATGCCTGGACGGAAGCGGTGACGGGAGCAGGGCACCCGCCCCCTTGTCAATTCACCGATGTGTTGGGTATGGTTCCTTTAGGATGCTACCAGGAGGATGCGGGCTTTGAGGACAAGAAAGCACAGGTGTTCCGTGCGCGAACATGCGCAGAGCAATGGTGTACAAGGCATGCGTGCAGTTGTCCAGTGCCTTTCGTGGACTACGACATTAGCGGCCTTCCCTGCACGGACAACAGCCGGGCCAATGCTCGGAGACAGTTCTCCGAGGGCCCGACAAACATTTTGTTCATTGCCTGGGCACTACGCCTGCGTCGCTTTGGCATGAAGATGGCTGTGCTCGAGAACACACCTGCGCCGGGGCTTAAGCTTACTGAGTTTGTGGTCTGCTTTGACACATAGGCTTCTTCTCTAAATGTAATTCAATCTAGTGAATCTAGTGATCCTCGTGACACACCCAGGACTTGGACATGTCCATGCTGCAAGTGTTGTTGGGAGATATGTACGACCTCTTTCAACTCATGGTGAGCATGGATGACTGTGGGCACTCGGGCACCTCGCGGGCAAGGACGTACATCATTTGCGTCCTCCGGGGTGTCTACACGAAGCTGCGAGACCCTCGCGAAGTCTACGAAACCGTGTCGGAGACTGTGAGAAAGTGCTTCGCTACACGCCCCCGAGACTACTTTACAGCCTCCGAATTGGAAGTGCAGTTAGAGGCCGCAGAGGTAGCTCGAGTCAGACAGAGGGAGTTCCTTCCAGGGGTCCATTTCTTGAAGTACTTGCTCAATGAGCGGGAAGCCCTCATTGTGGAGTCCCTGAACGAACGCTATCAGCAGATTTATGGGATGGATCCACGTGACGACAAGGACCTTGTCTACTTCCTGGGCGACAATCCGGATTTCAGCCTGGCCTGGTCAGCCCACAGCAGACGACTGCCTTGCGTGCGCAGGAATTGCGGGAAGTTGTGGATACCCAGTCTACATCGCTGGATGACGGGCCCTGAGAGGCACTTATGCGTGTGTCTCAATTTCGCTTGTTTATCTTTCTCCCCTCTCTCTCTCTCGCCTTTCTCTTTCTCTCTCCGTCTCAGTGGCCCTTTGTGTTTGTTTTCATGCGTGTGTCTGCGGGCACTGGGTGCTTTCGGAAAAAATAAGACAAACTAAGACAAAATAGGGACAAACTATTGAGGACTTCAGCTGTGGCAAGGGGGGGTATTCCCCTCTGGCTTGGGCATTCGAATTACCGTCTCTCTCTCTCTCTCTCTCTCTCTCTCTCTCTCTCTCTCTCTCTCTCTCTCTCTCTCTCTCTCTCTCTCTCTCTCTCTCTCTCTCTCTCTCTCGGATCTTACACAAATAACTACATGCGTTATACATACATGGTCTTCCGAGTATGTAGACATTCTGCAGTGTGTGTCTGTGTGTTTCGCGATTCTGGAAGGGCTTGCATTGCACCGCAGGCCACGAAAGGGGGCACTCGCAAAGCCATGATCTCAAGGAGCCAGTTTTTAAGGATAGGTTTTAAGGATCATACCTTCAAACAAGCCGATTTCCCCCACTACCATAACAAAATTAAACCCTGATCGAGTACTGGGGCCATCCTAAACCCGAACCCCCACCCTCCCCGGCCTCCCTCAAACCCTATAACCCGCCGAAGACCCTAAATGCTACCTTACCTATCCACCTGTCAGGCTGGCTTCGTTGTCGTTCCCCGTCCGCCTGACTGATGCTTCCAGGCTGCATTGCCCGGCGGTGCAAGTGCTGGATCCCAAGCGGGCCAGCAAGGTGGCTGGCAATGCCATGAGTCTCCTCACGACAGCGATTGTGCAGATGGTTGCGTTGTCGTGTTTCAGATTCCACTGAATTATTACGGACGAGATTGGGGTTGATGCCAGCTACTGCCCCGTCCTGTGTTAGACGACACAGCTGAGGCGCTTAGGTGATTAGGCTCCAGGCCCTGAACACTGCTGTGCACACTAGACTAGATCAGATTAAGTCTATGACTAAGATCTGCTGGTGCCCCATGATAATTAGTCTGCTCGTTTTCACCTCCCCTTGCCGCACAGAAACAGAGCTGCGCCCCGCAAGGAAAAGCATTTATAACGCCTGATCGAGTCGCAATCAGCAGCATGTGCTTCCACGTGGCCCGCATCAAATGCCACTTTTCATTTTAGTGTGCTCTCAAGCTTTAGGCAGTGTGCGTGCACGTAGACCACCAGCATGCCGCTCCCCCCCCGCCAGAAAGGGGACGCACCCCAAGCGGCGCCGAACCCAGCGCCGGCAGGGGTGATCAACTGGGGGGCAGTGGCAGCCTCCTCGGCGGCCTCTGACCCTCCTCAGATGATGTCTCCGCAGGAGCTAATGCAGATGCAAATCCGACAGGCACAGGAGCAAGGGGCAGGCCGGTCCTCGGATCCCGGCGGACGAAGAGGTGTCTCGGATCCCGGCGCACGAAGAGGAGCCGCCAAACAATCAGGGGGCCATGGGGGCCGCAAACGGGAGAGTGACACCGTGTGGGCGAGCCGGTGGAAGGACATGCCAGCGCGATTCTCAGCACATGACAATCCCGCATGATCGTGACTGGTTTGTCAATTGTCTGAGGACTACTTGATCCGAAGGTTCCTGACGGCCTGCGGCGACACTTGCCTGCATCCACCCACGGAGTGGACAGCGTGACCGCCATGACACGAGCTTCGCTTTCATATCCTCATTGATGATGCTGAGGGACTCTCGGCTGGGCCTACTCTGCTGAGCACCATCTCTACGCAGGATTTGTGGCCCATGATTTTTGTTTACTTTGGAGTGTCGGAGACTACGCCGACAGGCTTTTGCGGGCCCGCTCCTAAGCCTTAAGCGAACCACGTGATTGCATAGCATTTCCCGCACCTGGCTTCATTGTGATTCTGATTTTGGGGTTTTCCTGAAATTCAGGAAGAGCCCTGACACCATGGAGTCGAGCTTGCTCCAGGCCTACGAGGGCCGTGGCAAGCTGGGCCATCACTTGGACTTGCCCAAGATGACGTCGCTTTGCAAGCTCATTTTGGATGGCCAGGATTGTTACCGCATCGAAGAGGATGAAGCTCGGTTGGCCTTACAGAACCTGATCGATCAGATTATATTGCCTTCACAAGCTGATGTGAACACTTTCGATTTTCGATTATCTGTCAGGCTTCGTGTTGTAGAACTGCTAATGTTCAGTGTCCAACTTAAATACTGGTCAGGAAAACAAATGTCAGGAAAATCCCGTGTGCAAGGCCTGCAATGCAAAGTTTTGCTGGAACACGAATGATTCAAGAAACAGATACCAAGTAAGTAAACCGTTCCATACAACATTGCGGCATTGCGTCTAGGGCAGACATACATACTTACATGCAATGAGAGAGAGAGAGAGGGAGAGAGAGAGAGAGAGAGAGAGAGAGAGAGAGAGAGAGAGAGACAGAGAGACAGAGAGACAGAGAGAGAGAGAGAGACAGAGAGACAGAGAGACAGAGAGACAGAGAGAGAGACAGAGAGACAGAGAGACAGAGAGACAGAGAGACAGAGAGACAGAGAGACAGAGAGACAGAGAAAGAGACCGCTCAAGCGCCAACTCAGGAGGAGGAGGGCACGGTGTTCCTCACCAACGGCCCGGACGATGTGGAACTCAAGGACCAGCCCTTGCTGCCGCAAGGAGACCTGACCCTTGCCCCCGGGCCGCACTCGGACCCTGCTTGGCCCTTCAACCTCCCGCATGAAAGACCAAGGCATTGGACGAGAGGACTATGCGTGCCTTCATCAAAGACAAGGGCCAGCAGCCAAGCAGCCGGCGCAGGAAGCTCTACTGCGACGATTTGCTCGCGCCGATTATCGACAAGCATATCACCAAAGCCGCTCTCCGCGAACGCCCCCTTCTACGCGAAATCTTCCCGGCAAGCTTCTACGAGAACACGTCTAACCCAGGTCCCAAGGGAGGTGGCAAGGGAGATGGCAAGTCGGGGAAGAATACCGGAGGCACTGGCCCGGAGCCCCCCACCTCCTCGGCGATGGAAGACCCTGGAATCAAGAACCTCCTCGCGATTCCCGCCGATCTTTGCCAGTGCGGCCTTCCGCGAGCCCATTGCAGTGACTGTGGGTTTGGCTTTAAGGATCGTGCGGAGGCGGTCCTTTCCACAAGAGAGGGGAGGGAGGGAGAGAGAGAGAGAGAGAGAGAGAGAGAGAGAGAGAGAGAGAGAGAGAGAGAGAGCGCCTATCTATATACTATCATACTAACTATACTGGTTGCTTTGCTTCAGGTGCTGGGTCGGCTCCAGCAGGCTCGCACTTTGAAGCCAACTTTTTCGGCCGCATCGGTGGCATCGGTGCTGACGGCCAATCCGTCAACACCTGGCTCAATGCGGTCGGTAAAGCGTAAGGCGGCGGAGACGGATGCCAGCCTCTTCATGGACTCATCCGAAGAGGAGGTCTGGGAGGAGGAGGGACCGCTGTCTTCCAAGCGACCCGTTGTCCAGCTGTGCTCACCGCACTAAACCCTTAGTGCTTAGCCCTAGCCCGCCAAACCACCAGTACACCGCTAATTCTTATAACCCTTTAGTCCCAAACCACGAAGACCCACGCCCATCAATCAGGACGGTTATCAGCTGACCTATGAGAAAGCCAGCACCCGCCACATCCTCAAGAATCTGAGCACGGGCCAGACGGTCTCCCTCCAGCCCAGCACCAGCGGCGGGTGTGACGATTGGATTCTGTTGAAGGACTCTCGTGTACCTTCTCTGCAGCCTGTGCAGTTCATGTCTCCGCTGCTTGGGGATACTGTTGCGCTGAGTCTTTTTGATTTCGAGGCAAGCAGCAAGACGAAGGGCTCCCTCTTCGTTTGCAGCCAGAGCAAGGCATGCAAGCCGATCCTAACCAGCACTCTGCTGCCCACCAACGCGCCGGAGACGGCGCGGGTTACTAAAACGCCCCACAAGTATCAAGCCGGGATCCCAATCCCAAGTCCTTAACTTAAGCTTGGAGCTGGAAGCTTGGGGTGTACGGGGTGTTGAGCACATCAATTGTGTGAGGCTCCTGACGGCGAGCCAGCCGCACCATCCGGGAACGGGGCCAGGAACGGTGGCGAGCAGCACACGGAGCAGGCCACGCTGAGCCTGCAGCTTGCTAATAGGATGGATCTGACTGAATACTGAGCTTGACTGAGACACACCTCAAACATGGCCGTTGTCCCTGCTGTGATTAGCCCTCGCCAGGAGCCCCGCGAGCACGAGGAGAAAAACGCGGAGGATAAGGGGGCAGCCGAGGCCCCCCAGTGCCTTGCTGCAAAGCCTTCTGATTACACCCTTTGGAGGGGTTTGGAGTGCGGGTAAAGGCTTTTTGGCGGGGCCGGGGAGAAGCCAGGACGGTTTCGGGGAGGGGACAAGCCGGGATGGTTTGGGGATAAGCCGGGACAGTTTCGGGATAAGGCCGGAAGGGTCCGGAAGAGCTATTTATAAGGGGCAGGGATAGGCCGGGATGGTTTTGGGATAAGCCGGTAATAAGCCGGGGATAAGCGGGGATGGTTCTGGGACGGTTTCGGGAGGGCGGGGATGGGCGGGAAGGGATAAGCCGGGACGGTTCTGGGACGGTTTCGGGATGGTGTGGGGAGGGCGGGGATAGGGGGGGGGGGAGGGCAGGGAGGGGTCAGGGAAAAGGGGACCCGGTTTGGGCATCCCAAACCGGGGCATGAGGGGTGGGACTGATGCTCATGATGCTGGCCCCCCACGCAGAACCCAACGATTCTCGTGATGTTTGTTCTCGCTTGCCACCTTTTCTTCAAGGTCACAAAAAAAAACCAGACGATATTTGACGCACAAAACTGTGCCCTTATCTGTGCTTGTCAGGAAGGGAAGGAGGGAGGGAGTCAGGGAGGGCAGGAGTACGGCAGGGTGGGTCGGGGAGGGTGGGGGCACCAAGTGCGGCAAGCAAGGTCAGAAGGTGTGGACGATTCGGGGAGGGGATATCGTTTGTGTTCGCACACACATTCTTTTGCTACAGCCACGTTACTCAGCTTGTTTGCGTTCCCACATGCGCAAGCTCACACTTTCACACACGCACACACACACACAAGCCAACACACACAGACACACAGCCACACACACACACACACACGCACACACACACACACACACACACACACACACACACACACACACACACACACACACACACACACACACACACACACACACACACACACACACACACACACACACACACACACACACACACACACACACACACACACACACACACACACACACACACACACACACACACACACACACACACACACACACACACACACACACACACACACACACACACACACACACACACACACACACACACACACACACACACACACACACACACACACACACACACACACACACACACACACACACACACACACACACACACACACACACACACACACACACACACACACACACACACACACACACACACACACACACACACACACACACACACACACACACACACACACACACACACACACACACACACACACACACACACACACACACACACACACACACACACACACACACACACACACACACACACACACACACACACACTTGCACACAGACACACACACACCGACAAACCTGTGCTGCGTGCCAAGCGTTACTGACTCGCAGGATTCGGAGTCTGACTGGTCTATACTCCGCACATTCGTGGACCCTAACCCTAACCCGAGTGTGCTTGTTTGCGTTCCTACATATGTAGTAACCCGAGTGTGCTCGTTTGCATTCCAACATATGTGCTAACCCCAGTGTGCTCGTTTGCGTTCCGACATATGTACAAACCCGAGTGTGCTCCTTTGCTATCCTACATATCTACTGCCGCGGCACCCCATCCGTCCTATATGTCGAACAACTAAGAAACAGCCTCTGATCTATAATTACTAAAAAAAAGACAGGCTCCAACTAAGCCGCCTGTCTGTTCTCCGGACAATACAATTCGAGCTCCGCCTGGACCCCGCCCTTGCTACATTAAGCTTAATCCACGACAGTGAAAGCGAGTTGCCAAGGCAGGCGACAGTTTCGATCTCCCCCAACGAGAAGAAACAATATTATTTAGAATATACTATACAAGACATTCTGGAACCCAATCATCACAGAGCCCCCAGCGGGAGGCGGATGTGGCCATGCCGCCGTGAGCGGAGGGCAGACTGTGCCAAGGTGTCCTTGCCGTGGCTTCCCCGAGGGCTGACACGTATTAGCATAAGGGCTTATATAGGTGTCTGTTTGGGTTGACGCTCTAAGTCTTGGTTCAATTAAGGGTTCAGGGAATAGGATCTAGGGGTTTAGGGGTTCAGGGTTTGTACGGGTCGATGATCTAGATCTTTGTGTAGGAGTCTCGTAGGGGAGTAGAGTTTTGGGGGGGTGTTCAGGGGTTTGTAAGCGCTGAGGATCTAGGTTTCTAGGGGTCTTGAGATCTAGGCCTCTGCTTCGGGGTGTGGGGCTTGGGGTTGAGGTGCCGAAGGGTTGAGATTCAGGGTTTTGTGTTCGGGTGGGTGCAGGATTTAGCGGTTGCGGGTTTTGTTGGCTGGGGTTGGACGACGTGTCTGTTGGTGTTGTGAACGGGTAGTCGGGGATTGAGTCTAGTGGTGGGTGCACAGGACTCCAGATGCCAGGTGACTTGACTAGTTTGCGTAGAGATTAAATAACATGACGGGCACCGACTGGGCAGTGATAGACTCTACTTGGGTTTATGTAGACGAAAGTGGGACAGCTGCAAGACATCCTTGTGTTGCATGGGTCCGCCCCATGATTCTGCATGAGCCGGGCATGTCCGGACATTGACCGACAATCCCACCGGCCGGGGTGTCATTTTGAGATGGGCTGGCCAGCCCAGAATCAGAAGCTGCGCAATTACCTAGGCACTCAATGTCTGTTGTGTCATTAGATACCTTCCCACACGTTACTCCTGACTGTACATCGGCCAACACCATCAAGCATCGACGGGCGGCCCCTCAGGTATACTTGTCGTGTACGCACAGGCAGGGGCCCCCCCCGTGTCGCTCAGACGGAGACCAGCGCAGCATAGCCGCGCGGGTCAGAAAAGAGGGAATGAGATCGGCAGCTGTATGTGGGCAGCCGTGTGCATGTGTCTTATGCCATGCTCTCAAGAGGCGTGACATCGTTGGTGTGTGCCCAGGCAGTGAGCAAGCGCTGTGTGGATGCGAAGGCCGAGATGAGACCTAGTCATGTATGGAATGCCGTGTGTCATGTGCTCAATGTTCTCATTCTTGCAAACAGCCTGCTGCTAGCTGCGAAAGAACGTGGACAGTCTTAGGAACAAACTGGATGGCTCCGACCTTGAGGGAACCAGTGTACGGAAAACTGTCAAGAACATGGCTTCAGTGTTGGACCCATCCTCAGTTTTCATGTCTCGCTATTCAATTCGCGGGCTTAGGGCCTGAATGGTCGTCCGAGGCAATGATCAGAGCGATAAATCAAAGCAATATCAATGTCTTGGGGCGTGACCTCGGCATGTTCGTCCCGGCTCGCAAATGCCGACTGGAGGGCGGCAAGGACTTCCACCTGGAGCCAGAGGCTGTGAAAGAGCGACCGGTACTCAAGGGAATTGGGGATAGAGAGCAATCTGGGCAAAAGGCATGGTTGCTGCTTTCCTTGAAACTTCGCTGTTTTTTTCGCCCTGACGATCTTCATAGCTTGTGGAACGACACGAGCACCTCAGCGATATCAACATTATTGATGTTGTGAATAAGAATACCTAGCAAACAACTTAGTTGCATGGAAAACCTTGCCTGGTGGTTGTGGTGCCAACAGCTAAGGGAATGCATTGGTCAGAGCTGGCCTAGGAGTCGCCATGCTCAAGGCGACGTTGCTGGCTAACTTTAGCCACGGGCCGACGCTTGACTTGTCAGACATGATTTATTCCTCAGGGTCGCCTGTGGTCGCAACATGAGTCAGAGCAGCAGTGAAACTGTTCGTGTGGATGTAGGTATCGTGGGGGCGCCAACTTGTTCGACAAGCAAGTCACCTGCGAGAAGCTCATGGCACGCCACGAGCATGATCCAGATTTCTGGGCGGAGCTGGCCGAGGACATCAGCTACGACCGTGGCTGTCAGCTTTCTGCAGACGAGGTGCCATCCACGATGGAAGAATTTGCACGGGAGCGTGAGGTCTCCACCCGAATGCCCTATGCCCGGCTCTGAGATCCTTGCAGAGGAACATACGGAGCAGCTTTCTCGGTTCACGCATCTAAATGGCCTAATCTTTCCGGGCTGTGGCCTGGCAAAAAAAAACGACGCCGTGTGAGTCAGTTGAAACAGTTCACATCATGTGTCATCTAGGCTCAGTGCGGCTTGCGCTCGTGCTGCGCAGCAGAGTATGTCTTCAGAACTCAGGTCAAGAACAAGGGCTGGTTTAATCTGACATCAAGATGCCGAACGATTGTCCAGAACTGGAGCATCGCCAGCGAGCTTCTGCATCAGATGCTCGCAGAGTTTGGAGACGAGGATGATCCTCGCCGTTCTACGGGCTAGCTATGATGTCAGCCTGTCGCCTTGCAAGCCTTAATGCTTGAACCTTTAACACGTATTACGTATTACTCCTAAAGGCTACAAACCCTAAAACGTTTAGCCCAGACTCTGTCCGCGTCACGCACGCCGACGCACTGGGCCTGTTCGTCAGCGGTTGGGCTTATGTGGGGCCTTCTACATCGGTTGGGCGTGGGGATTGTTGTCGTTGGTTGTGGTGTCACCCGAAAGTCTTTCAGTTATTCCTCAACAGCAAGGACGCAGCAGACGGCGGAGCAGACCAAAAGGACGACGATGAGGAGGACGAGAACCCGGAGACGAGGGAACATTTCCAGCGGATGCGAAAAGACACCTCCAATCCGGTTCTGGCAGCCAAGCTGTTTCGTGACAGGCCAGAGTCAGTGTCAGAGTGCGTAGGTATCGCTGTCATGACTCTAGACAGGAAGCTCCATGTCCTTATCGCCAGGAAGCAAAACGCTAAAACAAACAGATCTCGGTCTCAAGCAGCAGCAGCAGCAGCAGCAGCAGGAACCGGCACAATCCCCGGAGCCTGTCCCCAGGAGCTTGCAAGACGAGATCAACATCATTGGCGTGACGACCCGTCCCGTGGTGGAAGAGTTCGTAGAGTGCATCGACAGGCAAGAGAAGGGACAGGACAGCAAAGATCCTCACTCTTTAGGCGCAAACCAGCCTCGCTTGAAGCTACTTGAAACCTAGATAGGCCACTGAATCACTGGACGTGCCAATCGTCATCGCAAGCCCCGGGCCCCACACGTTTGCGCAGGAAAGCTGCTTGCGCTGGAACGCAGAATTGGCGGCGGGTGACGCTTTCTACCCGACCGTGATGAAACTCTTGTCCCTACATCAGACTTTCGCACATGTCTCGGATCTGCGCCTGTCGCCGTGGCAGGGTCGAGCCCTCGACATCGATGGCTTGGATGCCTGGGCCAAACGGGAGCAGGAAATCTGGGTCCAGTCATTCAAGGTGTGTGTGGAGCTGGCTTCGGCGAGGTTCTGTTCATTGCGTAAGATGCATGACATCCGAATTCTGAAAACACAGACACAGCTCTGGCTTCTGAGCGGCTAGTGCGTGCTGTCGAACCCAGTAGCTTAGCAGCCAGATAAAATCTGCGCCGCCAGGTGCTGGAGCCAGCTGGTGCACTCAGCAGCGATGCCCAACCTCATGGCAGGTGTCTTTCATCCCCGCGATTATGTCCGAGACACTTTGATGGCTTGGATGAAACGTTGTTTCGTACGCATTCAGGATGCCGTGCGGTATGTAGAGGAAAATGATGACGACACCGCTGCTTCACTCCGAAGCATTCTCAAAGACATTGGCTTCCACCGATCACAATTGGTTCTCGAGTGCTGGGCCGTTCTGGAAAAGAGTAACTGGGACTTCCGGAACAACGACGTGAGGGAACTTGCGTTTTCCTTGCATGCTGGACAAAGTACGACGAAAATGGCGTGCGAGGACAGCTTCAACTGGTTGGCTTCGGTTTGCTCAAGACAATCTAAAGGATCTCAGCGCTACAACAAGCACCGTCCTTACGAACTTGCTCATCACCGTCGCAGCACAAACTGACAGAATGCAGAGAGTGTCCCCACCCCGGCTAAAAATAAATAGCAGTCGTCACATCGCAACAATGTGCACTAAGGTGGACAAAGTGGTTCTATGCCTCAGCAAACCCAACCCTTGCAAAGACCTTCAACATGGTAACAACGACGCTGGAAGACCTCGTGCGAGTGCAATGCGTGCCAAAGTCGGACTTACACGGGTCGTCCTTTCGCTCCACAGCAAATTACCTCCCAGAGGAGGTCGAGTTGCGCAATTTGCTGCAGGACAGACAATACACCAGAGTACCAATAGTATATCATAGCGAGCAACTGCTTAGTGTTTCTGTAAGACTGTCACGTGGCTCGCAGGTCAAGAAGAAGTGGATGTCGGCCGGCACAGCAGCTGAAATGAGACAAGTGGCCGCAGTGCAGACGCTGTTGGTGACACCGCCTGACAAATTCGACAAACTGCAGACCCGTTGGGCAGGTGATTGGGCGGGGATACCTGAACTTCGCATTGGGTGTGTGAGGATTTGAGGCACACGGAGAGGATCTAAGGGTGGGATAGTGTAGATACTCGACTTGAATAATTAACAGGGCAGGGGGCAGGCTTCCACTTGCTTCGCAAATTCAAAGGTTTGTTGCGGGGTCGGCAGCACCAGGGACCATGGACTACTGACAGACTTATTATTCTGATTGATATTGTTATTGAGTAAAGCGACTGCAATTCGGTAAGACGAATTAGGACAGAATCTGACAAATTAGTACAAAATCAGACAAATTAGGCCAAAATCAAACAAAGTAAGACAAAATAAGACAAAATAGGGACAAACTATTGAGGACTTCAGCCTGCAATTGATAGCTCATAATAGTGATCGTGGCTTCATTGTAGCTGTGACTATGATTTTTTCAAAGTCAAAGTTTTATCCACTCGAAAGCTTACAATCCAGCCTGATGCTACACCGCAGGATCCCTCTTCATGAAGGGAGCGGTCGCAGTGCGCGGCGCGGCTGCTTACCTTCTCTTGGGTTTCCGCTCCTATCTTTGCTTGGCCGTGAGGCTTCAGCAGTTCGAAGCCGACAACAAGGCCGGGACTCCCCTAAACTGTCTTCCCTTGGCACAAGTCCCGACTGTCTTAATTCGAGTTAACTAGTTGAGACTTCATACTCGGCCGAATCATAACATCATGCAAGCCAACTATTTAATTAAGCAGCAACAATTTAATAATCTGCCCTGCAGATCTACTGGCAAGTGCCGCCGCTGGACGAGCAAAGCAAGCTGAAGATTCCTGCGGTTTTGATCAACGAGGATGCTTCAATCGCGACTTGCTCTTGGAAGATGTGTTCCGTGACACCCGTCATCCCTGCAATGATGCCCGAGCAGCTCAAGAACCTGACAAGTCTCTTGACTCCTTCCAGTGAGCTGGAGCCATTGCCAAAGGCCGCAGTGCGCCTTGGTAATTGGCTGGACAAAGCAACGGTCAGGAAACTATGTCTTGCCAATGGAATTGCACAACCTTCACAGGGAACCGGCAAGCCGGGAAAGAAAGGGGTTCGAAGCCTCCGAAAGGCAGACTGGGTCGTAGCACTTGTTCGTGGCATGTTCCCTGACATGCCAGAAGACGAGCAGCACAAGATTCTCAAGATGTTCATGAAAACGTGGGATCCTCGTCAATTGCATGCCCGGGTGACGTCGTGGACTGCGTGGACGCGCTAGACCCAGAGGAGCAGGACCAATCCTACGTCAAGCAAGTCAAGGAGCTCGCTCGCAAAGCTCGGGATGCGTTGACAGAGATGCAAGGACGCGGACCTTGGGCTTCAAGTGTAGACAGGGTCAGGACCCCGATTGGAAGCTCTATGCGGTACTCTGTTCAGTGAGCCATTGTGCGGAGTTTCCACTGCCCCAAATTATCTCTAAGCCCTAAACTTAAACCCGAAGCCCACTTAATCCCTACATTGGTCTGGTGCTTGTGCCTGTGTCTTCTTCTGATCCGAGGAGAGGACGTGGCAGAACGGGCTGCGAAGAAATACTTCACACCGAAACAATTGCCGCTACATCTGTAAGTTGCCAAGCGATGGGGTATTCAACCTAGTTTTAATTACGCGCCACAAACTGAACCGTGCCTCTGTTGATGTGCCTAACACCTAAGGCAGAGTCTCCTTCCATTGGCGCCCGGAGTGTACATCCAAAGAAACCCCAAAGCGCAGACCTACCAGGCCTGGTATCCGAGATCCTTGGCAAGCAACAACCTCGATAGTTTGCGGCTTCGTTGTCATGCATGCTTCTAGTCAAGTAATGTTGAGAACGTTGTTGCGACAGCCAAGTTACCAAAAGATCCGATACCAAAGGATCGACTACGTGCAAATGGGGCGGCAAACAGAAAAAGTTGAGTGAGCATGAGGCTCTCAATAAGGTGGTTAGTCAACTGTGGATTTGGCACCAAGAGGAGGTGTCACAGGAAGAGTTCCTCAGAAAGCCCGTGCCACTTGCCAGCACTTGCCTGCCTCCCAAGCTTCCCACAGTTCCAGTCCAGATTTCAATATGTCTGCCCAACAAGAACCCATGTGCTATCCCAGGCCGACTCGAGACCAAGTTGCTCAAGCTGTCAATCGGCTGCTTGAGGAAACCGCGGCCGAGAGCGAAGCTGCTTCGCCCAAGGCGCCAGCAGCGGCCAAAGCCTCATCATCCTCAGGAGCTGCCAAGACGATGCCAAAGGCACCGGCAGCAGCACCCAAATCGTCACGGGCTGCCCCAAAGGGGGCCCCGCAGCCACCGCCAAAGCGCTTGCGAGCGGCGAAGTGACCACTCATAACACTGTTTTACCGTGTGTATTGAGTAATGACGGATTATTCGGCGTTGTCGCTGCCATTAGGTCCATTATAGGTGTTCTGTGGCTCATTGTGCGCATTGGCTTTAATGTTGCCGCCCTAGCTGTCGACAATGCTGACGTGGAGGCGCTCAGAATCGCATCTGCCCGAAAATGGTTTGAGACCTTCGGTTTGAAGATTCAAAGCTTTTGGATTGCAACAAAGTATCCATCTTTGCAACCAGATAACCCCTTCACACCATTATTTGTTATGTTTCCAACACTTCTTATGTCGTATGCTGGCTTATCCCAAGGAACTCTGGACTTATCCCTTCCCCTATCCTGGCTTATCCCAGGGACATCCAGACTTATAATAGGCAGGGGATAAGAAGGTAATAGGCCTAACCACCCCCCCCCCCACCCACCCCGGATCGACTCCATGATCACAGTCGGTGCTTCGGTTCCTGGCATATGCCTGGCCCAGGTGTAAACGGGGGAAATGGTTGTGCTTGCGTGCAATGCCGGGGCGTGAGCATAGTGCGTAGCAGATGCTGGAAACACTAGTTATGTTTGTTGGATCACTCTTGTTCTGTGGCCTTCTCAGCTTTTCCCCCGAAGAACGAAAGCGAAAGCACCGTCTACAACGAGTGGAGCACGACGCCGTCGCCAGCAAAATTCCAATGGAACACCTTTAGTTGAATGAGCGGTTGCTTCAGGCACGAGATGGGTTTGCCACAAGGAGGTGTGTTCTTCATCGCAATGTGCATGCGCGTGCCATTTGCTGTGACGCCGTGCTTTCTGTTGGGCTGATTTCGCGATCTTGCCGTGTTCTGTCCCTCCCGACAGCTGCTTCCTGCCGAAACTGATTCCCAACTCGACCGCAGTGTTCGTAAGATGATTTGTGTCTTGGTGCACGCTAGGACCCCTTCCTGGAACCGCGCGGCCTGACGCATGCAAGAGGCTTCCGCTCCACCTCAACCTGGGGGCATCATGCCATCTTTGGACCTGCAAGACCTGGATCTGGTGCGCCTACCGCTTAGCATCCGCTGCCACTGGCCACTGTTCGACTGACCGAGTTTGACATTGGCAAGACTCCATCTTTGTCATGCGCTTCTTTCTGCGGTGGTTTGGGCCTTCTTGCCAGTGACGGTCCATCTGTTCGTGTTACTGCCGGTGCTGTTCTTGGGCCTACGTGGCGAGAAACGTGCATCATTTTCTTGTTGCTTGCTTGGCCTTGCCTGCACTTCTTCGGCTTGTGGAAGGGTTTGCAAGTCTTAGGGAAGAAGACTCGGGGCTTCTCCGTGAGATGTGGCTGGAGTGAAACTTCTCTCTTGTCCCAGATTTGGCTGTAGCTGTTGCCATCAATGCATTGTATTGATGATGGCAAAAACCAGCTTCAGGTGTGGCGCTGTGCAGCCCTGCGGGGTCAACTAACAGCTCGCCGTGCAATTGTCGTCACTCAGCGAGTGCATTACGTTTTGGCCCACATGAATAATGAACTGACAAAGGCCAAACACGTCCAGCTGCCCGAGCGAAGAAACAAAACTGGGCCAGCTTGAGTGTGCTTTCACAAACAAACAGTTGGACAAACACAGCTGTCGATGTGCACGACACATATCAACAGCGACATCGAGCACCTGTCGTAGTGGTGTGGCGGTTGTCGGCTGTCTGGGTTCAGGTTCACTGGAGTTCACTTCTGCTTGTGTGTGTTGCCGCTTCGTGTTCGGCCAGGTGAGCGGGTGCAGAGTTTCGGGTCGCTTCGAAAACGGGTTCTGCGTCGTTATGTCCTCAGACGCCATGGGCGGCAGCAGCTTTTCCTTACAGAGTTTCGTGGTGCCGAGGACGGCCAGAAAAATCAGTCATCTGGGCATGCCCGAGGCCTAGTGCAGCCGATGTCATCGAGCTAGGGCCGCTAGGGAGATGGAGAGCAAGATGAGGCATTCGATTGCTGCTGAGAGTTCAGATCCAATCTGGTTACGAAAGGAAGGGAAGCAATGGAACCGGCCTGAACAACATGGCACTGCTTTCTTGGGTGTGGTACTTGCAAGATGCAACAGCGACGGGGCAAGAGTCGGTTTAGGCATGTTTAGGCAGACACGGAGAAGATTTGTTGAAGAAGCATGGAGTGCAGTGATGATGCCGGTGCACCGAGCAGACCGAGAGCGTTTTTGTAAGTGCTGGGGTGGACCACAGATGGGGGAGAATTAGAGGACAGTTTAGAGGCTGTGAGGTCCAGAACAGACAGTGGGAGTTGAATTCTTGGGCGATTGCATTGGGCCCAGCTTGCAGCGACTTTATCATTTGGTAGCAGCAGGACCAGGCCGACACACTAGCGGTCGACATGAGCGCACACCTACCTGCGCTGACTTGACTTCAAGAAGTCGATCTTTCGTGAAGCACCCGTGGCTCTTGGAAGCCAGACAGCTCACAGTAGCCTTCAGCATCCTGTAGCTATGGCGCGTGGGTGTGCGTTTCAGATGGATGGATTCGATGGGATTGGATTGGATCGGATGGCTTGCCTTTCATTTGGAGTGATGGACGGTGTGCAAACAGAAGGGAAGTTTGGGTCATGTGGGAGGGCTGCTGCAAGCCTGCGTTTGATCTACCACGAAAGCTCTCTCTCTAGCGATCTCCAACTTGGCTAGTCAAAACCAAGGTCAAGTTCCGGGTTGCTAGGGGCAGGAGGGTGTGGGATCTGCATTTCAGGCGAAGAGGAGTTGCTCATGATGCTGCTGGGTTTTGTGGGGTTGGGGTGGGACGCCTGAACTGACATTGGTGACGTTCTTTGTTTGTTTCGTCTCTCTCTCCCTCTCTCTCTCTCTCTCTCTCTCTCTCTTTCTCCATCTCTCCATCTCTCCGTCTGGCTGTCTGTCTGTCTGTCTCGCTGAGCTTTCTTCCCTGCTGGGTGAAAGTAAGGTCTACGTCGGCGAGATGCAGAGGTGCGGCGCAGAATCTCTGTGGACGGGGAAAACGTCGAGACAAAGTAAAGAACAGAAAGAAGAGCGAAGAAGAGCGAAGAGCATCGTTTCGTTGATCTTTCAAAATTGGTGCACATCGCACCCCGTATTGTCTGGCTCTTGCTCGGCCTCGCGAGCCATCGCGAGCCGCGAGCACAGTCTTCGGAGATCCTGCAGGGACAGCAGGGGGTTAGGTCGCGCTGCCTAAGAATCCTCGGAAGAGAAGCTGCTACTAGCCGGCTGTGCTGTGCTGATAGGAGTCTGGAACACGGCCCTGGCATCCTTCAGCATGGTGATCAGCGACAAGCTGGACCAGAAATTCTGGGCTGAGCAGCACGTACAGCTAGCAAGTTGATCACCGCGCGAGGATTCTGGCTTGAATCGAAGCTGGCTACTGTGTGAGGGCCACAATTTCATGCTCACTGCTACCGTGTCATCGTCGTGGAATGTTGTAGATGGCAATTCGCTTGGTCTAAGGCTGAAGTCTTCTGGATCAGGAAAGGCCGGTGTTCGGGCCTCGCTGTTCTGGCGAAGCCTGCGCATGCAGCTGCACAATGCAAGCTACCCGCACGCTTTCCCATGTCCTATGCATTCATGCTTTAGAAGTTGAGGTGCTGCTTGGGGAGAGTTTCGAGGTGGGTGAATTCTGTCTTCTCCTCTCTGCCTCTCTGCCTCACTGCTCGCCCTCCCTCCAACAGGATCACGCGACGCGCGGCGGTCCGTCTGAGTCTCAGAGCATCGGAGCAGAGCATGCGCAGCGCTCCCCAAGAGTGCTTTCCGAGGGCCCTGGCAGGCATCGCAATGCACACGCTGCCAAGCGGAGACTGGTACGTAAGCGCCTTGCTGTGCCAATAGTTGGGTCGACGATTCGACGGAGCCTTTGTAGCTTAGGTGGGCAATGTCGAGGTCGTGCTGCCTTCACTGCCGTGCCTGATTCCTGCCATGCTGGAGATGAAAGGCAGGCAAGAAGCACGGCTGCGGCATCTTCGTGCACTCCTATGATCGCTTCCTTTTTTGGAGCTGGAGCTTGCATGCAACATGGGCTAAACTTTAAACCCTCAGAGAGCAGAGGTCTACGCTGACGGCACTTTGTTCAAGGCCGATTGGAATGAGGATTGTTCAGACGGAGTCGAGTGCTCAGCTCGCTATCGATTCCAAGCAAGAGAGCCTTCTGGTTATCAGCGATTGTCCTCCTCTGTCGCCCCTCGCTGCGTCCGAGGTCTGTTGTTCTGTTGTGGTAGTCCCTTGACCCTTGCGCCTTTCTTTGCATGTTCTCTGTCCGTCTGCTGTCCTTCGCATGTCTTTCTCTTTCTCTAGATCGGTTTCCTCTTGCCTGCTGACCTTCCCTATCTCTATCTGTGCCCTTCCAAAGGATGCATAGCCAGACACGCAGCAGCATGCGGATAGTTGAAGAAGGGCTAGCAGGCTAGCACTTGTCACGAATCCATCGTCCAGCGGAGGTCAGGCACCCTCCCGATGCAGTGTGCGAAGGCGGATCACTATTCGACTCGCGCTTCCTGCGACAGTGTTGGATACAAGCTCAAGTTTCAGGCGAAGATGCCTTGGCCTCTGAAGCGGATGCCTCGCAATAGCCGGTGCTATGGCATGGACGGCAAGGCTTCCTTGATTGGGATTGCACGATATTTGATTTAGAGGTGTTTGTTTCGACGCCAATCTTCAAGCGCACTGAGCAAATACCGTCAACTCTTCGGCTTTGTTCCAGCAGTTTGCAGTAAGTGCTGACTAGGCACAGGCCGCGCATTGCGCGATCAGCCAGTCCAATCATGCCGGCTGCTAGCAACATGCTGAACTGCCGGTGGGCCCTTGCCGGCATGCTGGGTGCGGTGATCATGGAGGTCCCTGGCCACCTGCCCGCGAAAGTGGTAGCTGCGTGGAACTGGGGGACAAGTCCCTCACCAGCACCAGCTGTCTGCAATGTATGGTCCTCTTGGAGCGACTGCTCTGTGACATGTGGACAGGGATCACAGTCCCGTACCAGAACCGGTAGTTGCTCCTTCTACGACGAGACCGACGTTTGTTTCATGGAAGATTGTCCGCCTCCCTGTCAAGACTGGGAATCCTGGGGATCTTGCTCCCAAACTTGCGGAGACGGAACGAGATCACGTTCCCGAACTGGAGGGTGCACTTCATTGACAGAATCGGAAGGGTGCACAGAGGCAGTGTGTGCCACCAGCACCACTACTTCCGAAACCTCAACCACAGAAGCTGAGAATGCAACGAATACTTCGACATCAGGAGCCAGCACAACGGAAAGTGAGACCAGCACAACGGGCGACACGACGGAATCCACCTCGAGCGCCACTTCGAGCACCTCGGCTTCAAGCACATCTGCATCAAGCGCGGCAAGCACGAGCGCTAGCACGAGCACGACACCTGAGGTGCAGGGAGGCAACTCCCCACCAGTTTTGGATAGCCGAAGCAGGTGGAGCATGTCGATCACGTATTGCTGGTGCATCTTGATTCTCAGAAACCTCGCCCGAAGATAATCCCGTGGCCGTGCCCAAACCATTTTCAGTAGCTTGCGTCGTATCGCCGAACGATACTTGGCGGCTGCTTTTCTGTGCAGACAGGTGCAGGTGATTGCAGGTGCAACATGACGGCAAAGCTGCTCATTTGCAAATTCGTGCAGGTAGACCGCTTTCGGCCGATTTCGCCGTATGTTGCTTATTGATCTTACTGCGGGGTTGGAATTCTGGGCCTCAGCTCGCTGCCTAGCACACATCATTGCTCGATCCACTTGTGCCGTGACTGGACGCATTGCTGTCAGGCCCTTGGGATGGCTCCAGGCCGAGAACTCCAGTGTGCACCCGATCCAGTCCAAAGCCCATGCACAGGCTTTTGGTTTCACCTTAATCTAGTGCCGCCTGAACCTGAAAGAGGGTTCGGGACAAGATCGGAAAATCAAAGGGGCAACTTGCTGGGGGGGGGGGAGGGCGGCCGCGAAATGACCTGCTGACAGCCTTCAGATGCCACAAGTCCGTCGCAACCGCTCAGGTGGGCGTTTATAGTTAAATCGCGCATGTACATGCGCTTAGTTTCGAACGCTCTTGCATCGTCCGCTTGTCGAGCTTTCGTGCTCACTGGGTGCAAGTCAGAATGTGGGCACAGCAGCAGTAGCAGCGGTAGCAGGAGTAGCAGGAGCAACAGCAGCAACAGCAGCAGTGAGGGTGTGCGTCCTTGACGCAAGTTCCTTGTCGATATCACGTTGATGCATGGCTCAGGCTGAAGCAGCAATGAGGTTCAATGGTGCATTAATGCACATGCCAGTTCTGAGACACAAGTGACATCACGACAACAGCATTATCTCACCTGAGCACATGGATGAAGCATCTAGTCACAGTCGAAAATACACTGCTTAGCTTGGTGCCGCTGGCATGGGTGCCAAAACAAAGGCACGCGTGATCATGTCGGACATTGCAGACTGCTTGACAGCAACATGTGCAAGGAAGAGGACGACGAGGTGGAAGAGGATGAAGAGGAGGTACCGATGTCAACCGCATCGTTGACTGTGGCAGTTGACTCGCCACGCTGAGGATGTGCCTAAGAAGACCGGCGAGTCTGCCAAGGAGGTGGGTGCAGTTTGTTATTCTGGTTTAGATCAGGCAGCTTGGCACCGAGCCGAGGCAAAGCATCTCGACAGTTTGACAGATGCCATCGACGAGGAGCCTTGTCCAAGCGTTCCACTTTCTGCAGTTGGTTCTCCGGAACACAGCGCATCAGTGTGCTCATGATAGGACAAAACCACGTCTTCCAAAGTTGATGCTAAGGAGGCGGAAGCACGTTACAGATTGAATTATTTGCTTGCGTCTCATTCAGTGAGCAGGTGTAGCAGCCTCAGTCCTAGCCTGCTGGTGAAGGTCCAAGCGAAGCTGGACGAGTTCAACAAGCGCAAGGATTACCAACTCATGCGATACAAGTCTTGTGCAGTTCTGGCTGTATGCCAGTGGTGCGGGAAAGCTTGTTCCGTGCCTCAGGAGGAGGCTGACAGAAAGCGAGCCGAGAGAGAAAAACAGCTTGCTCAAGAGAGGCTGGCTTATCCTCGCGGCTTCACACTATCTCAAGGTTTATGCCTCCATGAGCAGGATCAAGAAAGAAGACTTGGATTTGATGTGTCCGTGCCTGTAGCCTTTGGAACAGAAAAGCTGGGCGGGCAGCACCTTTGCAGAAGTGACTCTGAGGCTCTGAGTTGCCGCTTTGTGACCGGGACGTTCTCGATCGTGTAGGAAGCCGAGCAGGGCGTCTCCAAAGTCGCGGAACTTGTCTCAAAGTGAGTGTTGAAGACCTTGACTTGCCGAGTTGCTGCGAGTGCACCGCGGCGATCTGAAAGAAGCACTTCGGTCAGCTGTCAGGAGATCTCCTGCTTGCATGCGTGGTGGCATCTTCGACTTTAGTGATGCAGTCCTGTCGACATTTCGGCGTCAAGCCTCGCAGCCAGGAGCTTCCCTACAAACAGCGCCTGAACAACAGGCATGCGACACCTCTGAGGCTGGAGCAATATGCTCCGCTGTTATCCGACTCGGATACAGCGCTTAGCATCCCAGCCCACACGCTTGAGATTTTGACGCCAGCGAGCGTTTGGGGTGCAGTCTTTTCCTGTGGATACCGTATGCTAAAGGGAACTGAGGAGCGCTGCATGGCGCGCAGAACTTTTTAGAGCAAAGTGTTTGAGCAATCGGACATCCAAGCAGGATATGTCTTCTGATTCATTTACTGGCGTAGTGTGCCATTGTGCCTTCTGTCGACTTAATCCCTGGCGCAGTGCGGAAGGTGCAGACAGAAACCGCTATGGCGAATACAGATGCTTGTAGCCAGGGTAGGCCGCTACAATGCACTCGCACATGCTTGCTTGGATTTATGATCGTGCATTCGCAGACCATTCGGTTCTTACGAGATGGGGTTGTCATCGTGATCTGCCAGGCACCGGGTTCAAATTCCAAAAGCAGCGTTTATGTTTTCAACGCAGTTGTTTGAGTGTTGAGCATGGGTTTCACGGCCGGTCTCGAGGTGGACCTGATGTCCAGTCCCAAAGGGGGCTATGTGGGCCTGGCAGGCGCTGGGGCGAAGGGCAGCAGTGCAAGCGGTTGCTCTCATTGTGACAGTGTGAAATCACGGCCTAGAGCGCCGCAGGCAACCGACCAGGCGGAATGCAGCAGGGTCTTAGCCTCCACGAGAGCACCAGCCGAGTTGTGTCCACTTTTGCCAGGATCGTATTCACCCACTGCAAGAAGTCCACAGGGATCAGTTGTGCCTTGCGACGCTATATGTGATTTGAGTTGTGTTTCTTGCACCTGGGTAGCCGCGCTGCGCCACTGCTGATGTTTCAGGCTTTTGGCCGTGGGGCCACTGCAAGCACGAGCCCTTGGCTTAGTCGGCGTCTAGCAGCCTGGCCTAGCATGACTGCAGCCCAGTCGAGAGTGTAGATGGTTTGCCAGGCTCCAACAACAAGCTCCGGAGGATGCGCTCAAACACACCGACCCCCTCGGACCGGCCTGCGACACCGCGGGCCAGCCCTGAGGTGAGGGTGCTCGACACCTCGAATTTGCTTGGCATCCTTGATCTTCTCTTAGGAGACACCCAGAAGCACAGCCCCTAGCTGCTCAGAATGCAAAGGAGACATGTGGCGGGCAAGTTGTGCATCGCGTGTGTCCTGGATGTTTTTTTTCTCAGGTCCTGTGCCCGCTGCACAGGCTGCTTTTGGAACGCTCTGCTCATGCTGTTTTGCACCGTCCCGGAGCGCCCTCGGCCAGGCCCCAAGTCCCCCCCCGGGGGCGGCCCCGGGGGCCGTGGACGGCAGCCGGCAGGCGATAACTATCTTTGGCTGCACGGGCAAGTCGCTTCCACGGCATTTACGAACTGTGAACTGTGCAACTCCCTGCCATCAATGACAGAGCCGGCATGAGCAAAGGTATAAACTGATAAACGACACTTTTGAGCCAGAGCCTTGGTGCGTTGGCTTGGGTTTCAGATGGTTTCAGGTTTCAGACAGGATTTTTGCCGGGACCTGGAGACCGCGGAGTTCTCTCTGCGAGGCCCTTGCAGATGCTGCACCAGAACAAGCCATGCTGGAGGGCAAGGTCTGCCACGCCAGTCGGCGTCTGAGTAGAATGTCGAATGCCGTGGATCGCCCCATCATGTGCTGGTGCAAAGAGGTGTATTTGTTCCATACCGGCAAGTCGCGATGGGTCATCAGCAAGAAGGTCAATGCTCCTGCCTGAAATCTGCAGCGCAAGATGCCACCGAACCTTCGCAGAGCTTTCAGCCTCTTGGATCGTCCAGATTGCGTCGTGGTTCACTTGCTCAAGCAACAGCATGTATGCTTCAGCTTGGCAGTAGTTGCTTGCTAAAGACTCGTTCCCGTTTGCTGGTGAGGTCCGTCCCCCAGGCTTGTTGTGTATTCAATCTGCCGGAGTTCTGGACCTGAAGTCTGGACCTGAATGTCGCAGGTACGTCCGCAAATTGGACCACATGCATGGCCAACGCATGGCCTAAAGCGCTGCTTCTCTGCGCTTGGCTGCCGTTGGTGCTGTGCGTGCCTGGGCAGCTCAGCATGCCCCCCTTCCGGCAGCTCGAACTTGCGAAACGCAGGACACTCGGTGAAGTTAGAGCCACGGTCCCGCCTCTGAGGAGAGGGCGACAGAATTTGAGGGGAGTCTTGCCTGCGCCGTGATTTCAGGAGTACACGTGGTTTGACAACCGTTGCTTTCCTGTCGGAGACAAGGCTGAAAGCCGGAGGGCGTTCCATCGGAGACCAACCAGGGCAAGGCGAGACGGTTTCGATGATGTTCGATGCATGTGAAAGATGTGAAAGTATGTAATTGGATGAGCCGAAGTTGTCGAACCGTCGAATCATCCACCTGAAGACTCGCTCCATGTGTTTGTAGGTCTCTCCGAACCAGTGCCAAGTATCGTCTCGCCCTGCGACTAATACTCGCTGCTGTGACTGCGACTACACCGACGGATGATTCTGACAGAAGAACTAGCGCGGCAATATGCGGCAACTGTAAAAGCATATGCTCTCATCAGCACCACCAGCACCACCAGCACCACCAGCACCACCAGCAGCACCAGAGCCGCCGCCACCACCACCAACAACAACAACAGCAACAGCAACAGCAACAGCAACAACAACAGAGCAACAGCAACAGCAACAGCAGCAGAGCAACAGCAAAGCATGCGCTTGGGTCACGGATGCGTTGACGAAGTCAAAACAGATCAGACCACGGACGTCATTTTGATTGGGCCATACATGCTTTGAACTGGGAGCTGATAGCGTCATCATGGTTGGGCCGAAAAGGTGAACCGTGGGAACCATCGTGAATACCAGCATTTTGGGCACACTAAGCTATGAACTCTGGTAAATACCGGCGTTTTCGGCATTTGCCAAAAATGAAAATGCAAGGTGTGTGAGTGTCAAGTGAGCATTCATGCACCATTCATGTGCCATGTGAGGTCTTGCAAGCCCTTTGAAGTCATTTCCGAAGATAGCGAACCCCGACGGCGTTTCGGACCAAACATCCCATGTCGTTCTGTGGAAGCCGTGCCATAGCCAATGTAAAGGTGGATCGCCTCGGGTGTGCACAAAGTGTGCGATACACTGTGGGGGCCGAATTATTTGTCGTTTGGACCACGGAAGTTACCGCAAATACCGTGTAAACGTGCGTCGGAGCCAACAGCACCAGCAACACCAGCAAAACCACTGCCAACAACAAGTCAATGTAATAGTAACAGTAACAACTGTCGGAATCATCATGTATATCAATACACTAATTACGATGTTACAGTAATTACGACAATTTCAGTGATGATCACGATGACGATTCTCAAAAATAACAGCAACAACCAACAACAACAACAATAGCACCACGAGAAATGCAAGCAGGAGGAATGAGAACAACGACAAGAAAACACAACACCAGCAGCAGCAACACATGATAACCTATGATGGCATCGACAGCAGCAACAGCAATTCCACAACAACGTGCTAACACATACATGCAATGAGGATAGTATTCCGTAATTTGCTTCTAGTTATGTAGAACCGCCTTGCGAATGAAGTTGATTGGTGGCAATGGCACTCGTAGTGCTCTCGTACATATTAGTTGTCTAGCGACCTGTCTTTGCAGAATTTTCGTCCATTCTCGTCTCTCGCCCGTTCGTGAAGATCCAGTCAGGTGCGCACCTTGCAGGCGAGCGCAGCCACAGCAGGAAAGGAAAGTCACCAAGCTTTCTTCAACATGACAGCGTCGGACGTGTCCCGGCCCATTTGTTCAGTTAGTCGCGCAGAAGATGGTATTCGACTTTGCGTGTGTGCAGCATAGTCTGAGAGCTGTCAAGCGCAGGCAGCCGTGCAACCTGGTGGCATGCACTCTTGGGGTGCGCATCGGGTGTGCTTCTCGGGCTCGATTCCGAGGCAATGGATCTCGACTTTGACACTCCAGATCCTACAGTGACTCGTCAGTTATCTTTCTCACACCGCATGCCTGAGGCCATGTGACGGTTCTGTGTCTCAGGAAGAGTACGATGGTGACTTGGGGTCGCCCATATTGAAGTTGCCGCCTGTGCCAACCCCCGCATACAACAAGCTGAAGTTTCAGCTGTCATCTAATGGCCCTGTGGAAACCTCCGTCCAGGAGACGCTCCTTTGCTTGAATAAAAGAGCGAGGACGCTTCGTACCTTTTGGATGTAAGTAGGCCTACATCCCAGCAACAGAGTTGAAGTCAGTCCACAACACAAGGACGCACAATCAGTGTGATAACATGCTGGCCACCAAGGGATGCAGCCGGTGATGAGACAATGAAAGATGCAGAGGAATGGAGGCGTTTCTCCAGTTTTTGGTCAGACAGGGTATAATCTGAGCTGAGCTTGTGTTACTCCAACCGCAGCAATATGGGTAACGGGTCTGAGGCGTGAACTCGGTTAGCATATAATGAAAACGAGTGTTGGAAAGACCTATCTTGCACGGAAAGGGCTACACGGCTACACTAGTCTGAGACTGAGATTTCCGCACCTTATCCCGTAAAGTCTGAACCCCAAGCCGGAAAACCGGAGTCCCAAGCCACGGGAAGCCCGCTGCTCGCCTCGCAAGCTTCGGACTTCGTGCAGTGTCTCGCTCTCACCCCTAATAGGGGGTGGCGAGCGCATAGCGTGTCGTGTATTTTTCCTGGTTTTCTTGCACATTCCATGGGGGTGGGGTGGGTTGGGGCGGACATACTGCAGAAGGATGGTTCACATCTCGAACAAAAGACACACTGGCACAGGCGTTGATGCCTTGTGCGAACATGCCCAACTACAGCGTTCTCGCTTTTTTGCACAACATAGTGGGCAACGACATGGTGAGAGCGTTGGAAATGAAGAGGACGATGACCACCACAAACACGACCATGGCTGAGTGAAATCTTGTCAAGCTGACAACAGTTCTTTTTCTTCTGAAACTCCTGTTAAAACCTGGGTTTCTCATAATTTACGAGTGCAGAGCAACATGGCGCCCCATGCGCCAGCGCCGTGATAGGAAGGGACACATGGCGGGCTGCGGGCGCGGAGATTTCGGGGTTTGGGCTTGGGATCTATCGGATTGGGTGGTTGTGCGAGATTTTACAATCAGGGCTGGTTCGCCTCCACTGTTCCTACTGACCACACTACGCCCAACAACGCAGCCCTGCTACCAACAGGCTGATATCCTCCGATCCAACCAGCCACAAGGACTCAGGAACCCGAAGCCCTGCAAATACACCTTCGTTGTAGTGTGCCATCCCTTCCTCACCATCTTGTGCATACCAATGCGCCCAACTCCATGCCTTGCAGGGAAACGGAGAAGGAGCTGCAACAAGCCACGGAAGATCTTGGAAAGGCATCGCACAAGGCACAGCTGTGCTTGATACTCACAGTTGCGATCGAGATCATTGTATTTGGCGGTGCAGGCTGCCGAGGATCTTCAACAAGACACCAAGAAGCTGCAAAAGGTGAGCAGGGTTGCTTGTTACAGTTTTCCTGGAAGCGTCTGTTGCAGCGACTGAACTTGAAAGGCACGATCCCACAAAGCTCGGGACGAAGCTCAGGAGCCCGCCGTGGATTCGCCACAGCATATTTTTTTCCAGAGGATCAGCTGAGTCTTTCAGGAGTTGGAGAAACAGCAACAGGACAAGGAGGAGTGAAGAAGCAGTAGGTTATGCCGTTTACTGGGCATCGCCTTAGCTTCACTTTACGTCAGTTTTCAACGGCAGCGGCTTGAAAAGTCAGCGAAGCTGACTCGGGCCACATTGCAGCAGGTGGTGCAAGGAAAACCAAGTCGGCGTGCGATCCATGCGCTGTTTCTGTTTTCAATGTCATGCTACCAGCATCGTCGAGCCGTCAAGTCTTGCGTTCCTGAGTGAACCAAGGACGGCGCTAGATGCTATGCCTTTGTTTCGGACAATGGCTATGCTGATCCCACCCAGTGTCCTGGTCCTTGGATTTGCTGTGGCGGAGTCCTTACGCGAGTCGGTGCAGGGCTTGGTGTATCGTGGTGCAGTGTGTTGGGCATGTTGCCTCAGGTGAGGATGGGCAGTGGAGGGAAGATAGAAATATCAAATGCGTACCTGCGAAGGTCCACCTTGTTCCTGATGTTGTTTGCTTATGATATGGCTTCGTGTTGGCGTTGCTTGTGTCCCCTCAAGCCAGTTGCTTGCCTTTTGTGAGGCATCTCAGGACAAGTTTGTTCTGCTCAGGAACGAGGCCTGGCAGCTGCATGATGAGCAAATTCATGGATAGATTCGTTTTGGTGGGCTGTTCGCGACCGTCTGTTTGGTTTTCTTCGCTCTAACATGGCTGTTGCGTGATCGGGCAGTTCGGACCAGCCATGCTGATAGAAAACATAGATTAAGCTTTGTCTCTGTGGTCGCCACTTTCCGTTCGATGTTTTTGGAAGCCCAAGGTCGCGTCTAGGCTCCTGCCCTTCTGCCAATTCTTTTCTGAGCTCTGACCTCTGCTCTGGCCAAACTGGTGGGTGCACAGGTGTAACCGTACGGACTCTACGTGAGTTTGTTTGGAGAGGGAACGGGAATGTGTAAATTTCTTCGGCAAGAGCGTGCCAGGCTCTTCGACAATGGTCAAGCCACTGAGTGTCCTGCATGTTTCCATTGCTCGGCCCACGGTGTGCGCAACACAAAGACTAAAGACGACTCAGAAGACCCGCCCCTGGAAGTCCTTCCGCATCCTGGCTTCTTGTCTTGGCTCCAGAGCAGGAACGGCGACCACTTTGACCACGTCGGTTTGTGAAGACAAGCACCTCCCTGTAAAAATGCTTTGCTGCAGGTACGCTGGCAGCGTCGGGTAGAGGTGGAAAGTCAGATGAGATACAGACAAGCAAAAAGACAGGACAAAAACATGACTGCGGAATGTACTTATGTGGTAAAGGAACCAACGACTGAATGACTAGACAAAGTTGATGTATGCATGCATGTATGTAGACAGGAGGAAATGTATGCATGCATGCTCGCATGTATGTAGGTATTGGGTGTAGCGTGCATTTATGTACACGAGGCGTGTCGTGCATCATTGTCATATGTGCAGGCCCAGAACGCTATGCTTGAGGAGAACTCGTGCATGCAGGAGAGCCCCAAGCGCCCAAGCGGTCACCGCTCCAATGTTTGAAGGAGGAATGAGGTTTCGTGAGCATAACCAGACTTCCCATACCGCAGAGGTTTCCTGCTCTGTGACGTGATGCAAGAAACGCCTCAACGCCGCAAGAAGCATAAAGCGTTGCTCCTGGCAGCATGTGCGTCTGCCGAAACCAGGCAACTGACCAGTGGCCAACCCTGAATCCATTCGAGAAGTTGCACACTCCCCATCCCCATCTGCCGAATTCGCATGTGGCATGGTGGCAGACCCCAAAGCTTCGAAGAGGGAAGCCCGTCGCCCATTCAGGTAATGGGATGCACTGGCAGTCAAAGTTTCAAAAGCGAGTCACTGAAAGACCAGCCCCATATCTTGAGGATAGTTTCAAGCTTAAACCTCAATGCAACTACACGGGCCTGCAAAACTGTTGGTACAGTTTGCACTGGGGAACCTGCACTCGATCCCGGAGCGAAAAACCTGCTGGACCCTTGCCCCCTGCCAGCCGTTTCCATGCTGAGCAGGTGGAGGAGGATTTGAAGCACTTCGGGTTGATGGATTCCAACAGCCGCTCATTTTCAATTGTTGCAGCTTGCGTGCGTACCATTGTTTGCCAGTCTTGTGGCAGAGGCTTGAAGCAGCTGTGGAAGAAGCTTGACAGAGCTCGGACCTCAGTGCAAGGTGAGATCCGAGGCGAAGTCACATTCACAGCCTCTTGCCTTGATGTTGTCAGAACGGAAACAACATCGTCAGCTTGGCGGAAATCGACAGCCTTGTTGTGGACATGGTCAAGGCCCGGATGATGGGAAGGCCAGAGGATTAGTGATTTCCTAGTTACTCTTGAGGCCAGCCTGTGGCCAGAGTGGGTCAACAACAAGGATGCCATTCGCAGGGCTTACGAGAAGACCGCCAAGAAGCCGGTTTGCAATTATTAGCATGAGTTGTCAGCAACGAGACTGGCGGCGATGCATGTTTAAGTCTTTGAGGCTGGATGGCGATGGAGAAGGGGATGATGTGGAGAAGGACCTGCCGCAGACCGTAAACGACAGCATTGCAATGCTAAGTCTTGGCAGCCAGCAATCCACAGGCGCTAGCTTGGACAAGTCGCTTCTGAGCGCAGGAGGAATTCCACTCGTTGCTCCTGAACCTGTTCTGGTCCTAGGGCCGCAAAGAGGGAAGCCCGGCCCGGACGCACTGCTTGCGCGCTCGTTTCTGTGGGCTGCAGGTTTGGTCACTTGCATCGAATATTTGACGAAATCGATACGACCTTTGCAAGCATTAGGCTGAAATGTCTTTGTGATAGAATGCCGGCAGACTTTGCATGCGAAACTTGGGTTCTTGCCACCATAGCCGAGGAGCCATGATGGCAGGCTAACTCTGGAAGAGTTCACCGCAGGAATGGCTCAGCAAGATGCCCAGAGATATTCAGAGCTTCCACGAGGAGGGATGTCTGGAGCCGCAATCTGTGGCAAGGCTCGACCTTCACCTGTCTCCAGAAGAGGCAAGAAAGGAGTTCAGGACCCGTCTGCCTCTGGGTCTTCCTTCACTGGTGGAGCAGGGCTTCTTTCCCGTCTCCTGTGTCAGTACAATCGACATGGACCACGGTGGGATGATCCTCTTCACCGAGTTCTGTGCGTATATTCGGAGGCAGACAAAGTTCTGAAATGAGGCCTTTACCAAGAGTGACTGAAGTGCCTTCCCGGTTCGAGGCGAGTCCACCCAGACCACAATCCAGCCTTTGATGCAGATATTGTCTGCCTGGCGAGTTGTGCTCCGATGTTGTGTATGGTATTTGTTGATTTAACATTCCCAGGTGTCCAAGGACAAGTCCAATGAGACTTTGCGGAAGAAGCACGGTGACAAGGTGCCAAGTCGCAAAATGTCGCAAAGCTCTGTGGAGACCAGAGAGAACCAACCCCGTGCAGGCGACCCATGGACACTTCGTCAACAAGAAGAGTCTGGCCGACTTTGACAAACTCGAGAAGGAATTGAAGGCTGTGACCCTGATGCTGTTTCCATGCGAATTTGTTGCGACACGGCATTGCGCTTCGATGCGCCAGGATGTCTTGAAAGCCAACGACCAAGTGCAATTGAAAAAGAATCTGGGCCACATCTTGCCGCTGAAATTGTTTCACCGGAGAGGATGGCGAATCGTCTCAGCTGAGGATGTGGAAACGACTAGACTTCAATGGCAACAACATTGTGTCTCTGGCAGAGGTGCGAATGCTGATGTTTCATGTTGTTTGGCTTCCAAGGTAAGCCTGTTCGGCTGAGGTTGGCAAGATGGTTAACGAGCAGTACCCAGTGCTCAACCATCAGCCTGCACTGATGCGGGCTTTCAAGGCCACGCTTGAAAGAGGAGCCGTCCGTGGTGCTGAAAAACTGGGGGAGACTACACTTTGCCCTAGAAGGAAACGGGGATGAATGGGTGCAGAAGGCCGAGTTCAAGATGCTTTTGGGCCCCTTGCCCCAAGCCGAGGTGGTAGTGTGGGAGACGACACCCAAAAATCAGCTTCCTCAGGCAACCTGTTCTATTTCAACAAGCTTTACTGGCTGTTCGACCAGGTTCGTTCCGGGAAGCCCACAGCCGGTCGTTCAGCTGTCAGTTCTCGACAGGTAGACGAGGACCACGACCGCCGAATGACTCTCAAGGAGCCGATGGGTGCTTGTTACTAGCTGCTTTTCGGCGTATCTTGGAGTTGGCATTTTTTTCAAGTTGTAGGTATTTGCGAGGTTTCCTGCAATTTTTTGGTATAAATATCGGACTGGGTATTTACGATGTTTCATGTCCTTGATCTATCGTCTCGCAGTCGGTACTTGCGCTTTTCGTTGTGTTTGCGCTTTCGCTTTCCAGGGTGGGGTGGCTGGGAGGAGGGCGGGGGCTTGTACTAACTATTACCACTGCGGGACACTCCTTCAATGGAGGTCGACTGATTGCTCAAACCAGGCATTGCAATGGCCTCAGCTAGAATCAGTCAACATTCTCGCGCCCTCAAGACGAACACGAAAATACAAAATTAGCAGCACATAGCATGAGGACTACCAGCGTCGCAAGCACCACCAACAGAACCACCACCAAGACAACGAGACGCAGTGATAAAGAAGAGGAAACATGATGATGATGATGATCGATGATGTATGATGAGTCCCGAACACCCCAGGCTTGCCCATGTTTTGTAGATGCGTTGCCTGCCCGACATGCCTCGCGGGAACCACCCGCGCGCCTTGTAGTAGGATTACCAGAGTGGCAGCGATAGTGGTTGTCGTGGTGAGACTGGCAGTAGTGGTAGCAGTGCACGAAATACAGGAGGGTACATGTTTACCTCCATCTTCTCCCTACTTCGCTCGAGTCTTGTGCCCCCTATCTCCTGACTCCCACAGTGTTTGCACGATTCGCTTTACGTGCTTCCGATTTCGCTTCCTGGCTTTCCCAACCTCACGAATCCAGTGGGCAGGAGTTCCAGTGGTGCATGTCCGTCTGCGGTATCAAGATGTCTCAGGCCAAGTCCGAGGCAGGTTTGCAATTCTGTACGGTCTGCTTCCACATGTGAGTTCTCCCTGTCGTTTCGAGGCAGAGTTCAAAAAGGTAGATGTAAATGGCGGTGGAATTATTCTTTTCGACGAGCATCCTGGCTGCCAGCTTGTTAGATGACCATGCTTGTGCAGCCTTAGCAAAGCCCATGACAAAGCTGAACCGTACCATTACCAGAACACAGCAGGTGACAAGATTCTTAACAAGATGATAGGGCGGAGAAATCATGTCTTCTCGTCGGTGTTCCTTTTCTCTTGACGTACCAGTGTGCCGGACACTTGTGTAGGTGCCTCCAAGGTTTTGCAGATACTTTGCCGACAAGCACTGTCCGGAAGCCATGCAAGACGCTTGGAAGCAAGCAGACGTAAGGGATGCAGCAGAAAGCTTTGCTTGCCCAAGTCATTGCCACGTCGGTGCTTGACGCCTGGTCATAGTTTCCCAGCTTGGACCCTCACGCTATGAAGATGCGTGAATGCCTGCAGTTCCGCCGTACACCACGCCACCATGTGAGAAACCAAGCGAATCTCTTCGATCGTCGGCTCGCACTTAGGCAGAAGCCTTTGATGCTCAAGCTACTGATTCTGATGTACTTGTCTGAGCATTGAATAATAGTGAATTGTAGGAGCAGCAGTTGTCGAGCCAGTGCTCGGGATACACGGCATGCTTCACCTCGCTTTGCCAAAGCTGGTAGCGCGGAGAGTGGTTCGACAGCATGACAGCTAGGAGGTAAGGCCCAGGCAGGTTCAGCCCTGTGAGGAGTTCGTGGACGGCCTTTGAAGTTGCTTTGGGAATTTGGCTAACTGGAATGGCCTCTGGAGCTGCTATCTTGCCTTTGCTATTGTTGTTTCTGACCACCGTCGCTGGAAGTGCATGGGTGGCTTGACTCGTCACACTTTGCGGTGCTGGAAAGTTTTCTGGCTTAAAGTCTTTCAACAGCGTGTCACCCTGAACCGAAAACGCTGCTGGCTTCGAGCCGCAGGGTGGGTAGTCGCACTCAGAGAGGGTTGTGAGCTGTGAGACAGTTTTCTGACATGACTGTGAACTCTGCCTTCGGGCTCCCATTAGAGTAACGCCACCTGCCAACTCCACTACGGCCAATGACACCATCGACTCGGGCAGAGTTTTCGGGAAAAGACCGGGAGTAGTCTGCAGCAGGCAAGATGCCTTCGGTCTGGCTGTCGCAATCTTCGCTTCGCCGTGGTGGCTCCAAAGCTCCTGCTATGCTTTCATGTAGAGATGGCATTCTCGGTCCATTGAAGCTCAAGCACAGCCCTACCCTGCTAGGGCTACGAATCTACAGTGTACCCGTGACATCACAGGACTGGAGAGACCGAAGCAGACATGCGCTCTGCAGCAGCTCAGGCTATTCTAGTTCCTAGTTTGTCATGGACCACTCGAGGATATCTGGCATCTGAACATGATTTCGTGCTTGCGGGATGCCGCCTCCCGAGGCCATGCCCTCTCTGCCATACTAAGGCAATATAAGGCAATGCAAGAGCTACACGATGCGCAAAGATCGTGGCACCTTGTTGCTTCGCCTGCGCAGTTGCCAGCAGCCCGGTGCAAGCTCTGTTGGTGACCCGGCGAAGCCTCCACCGGGTGCCGCCGCTTCGATGAGAGTGGTTTTTGGGGAAGCGACGGTGCGAAATACTCTGCGCAGGCTCCCGGACTGCCGTGGACAATCTATCATCCCCACATCCAGGCCCAAAACCTGGAAATTCCGGGCCACTTCCGCATCCACAGTTCGCTCCAAGGAGCCGGAGCACACAAAAAAAATCGTGGGCGAGACCAAAGGACTCGCCAGGAGCGCTGCCTTGGAGCGGAGTAACGTTTCGCTGACGGGCTTCAGTCTGGTTTCCAGGTACATTCCAAAGAACTACCGTCACCAGCAATTCATTGAATCTGTGAGGTCTGGCGAGTGCTCTCCCCTGTGGCAATGCTTTAATGCCTGCTGCGTCTGACAGAAATGTCAGGTACTTTGGGCCAGACTGGCCCTACAATATGCTGAGCTCGGTCTTTTGGAAGGCGCATCGGGAATCATCGCTGTGTACATATTGTCATCCTCTCTAGGGAAAGAAAGCTGGAAATAATGAGACCTGACACTGGAAGGCGAGAAGGTACAATGCCACGTACAATCCGATTCCTGCGGACATGTCCGTCCTTCCAGGTGCGTAACCTGGCATGTAGCTGCGTGGAGCCGATTAGTTCCGGTCGTGATTTGAAATGATGACGAGGCATTCATTTCTACGCAAGACTAAACGTCTGGTGTGTGGAGTGGTGGGAGCAGGCCCATGCGCGGCAAAACATGTCCGGTTTCCGGGATCGGCAGTGGCTGAGTGCAGTCGGAGCCAGGATAAGCAGCGGTTTCGCTGGTTCAGAGCCAACTACGGCTTCATGCGAGCTAAACAGCATGCCGAGGACGTGCTGGCTAGCGTTGAGCGTTGGGATGCTGTGGACAGATTTGGAAGACGAATGTTTCTTGCCGTGCAGGATTTCCGAAGGAGTTTAATCGAAGCAGGTCGTGCACTGCCTAGTTTCTCAAGTCCTTCGCGTTGAGGTGGATCCGAGAAAGGGCTTCACGATCCGATGGTTGCCGCAAACGGTGAGGTGTCGATAACCGTCGCACAGATCGAGAGATTCGCATCCAGCTACTAGCTCGCACTGCCCTCAGACGGTGACCAAGCGTAGAGAGTTGAACGGTTACCAGCTTACATCAGGTTGTCAAGTTGTGCATGACGCTGTCTGCAGGCACCGAGGCCAAGAAACTCCTGAAGAAGAAGTTCTCTAACAAAGATGCCCGCCGCCTGGGCAATTCAGGCACAGGGTCCAGTTGGGCACGAGAGCATGCGATGCAAATGCAAGCCTTCACGACCTTGGAAGGCAGCAGGCAAGGTTCTGAGCGCAGGGCACGTCGTGACTACCAGAAGAGAGGCCTGGAGGGCAGGGCCTTTCCGAAAGACGATGTTCCCCCGTGTGGCTGCCCGGGCCGGGCCCCGGCCTTTGAAGGCCTGCTGCCCTGAGCACTGCAGCCGACCCCAACAACGGAATGCGCGCGCGCGCGCCGCTTCCATGAGCGAGCATTGCTGTGCGTTGGCTGCAAAAAGCTGCTACGTTTTGGCCGCAGGCCCTGCCAGCACTCGGCCTCTCGTGTGGAGTTGGTGCATGGTAGAAGACTCGAAGCTGTCCAACTCACAGCAAAGAGCTGCCACCAGCATCCACATGACATGCTTTATGAGTCCATTGACTGCACATGCGCTTTTAGCACTAGATGGAGATCAACAGCCCTTGCGGTCGAATGAATCGCTTGCGGTCTAGATATTGGCCAACACACCACCATACCACCAGAGCTCCAAGCGTCGCCTGCCTGATGACATGTGAGCCGCCTGCAAGAGGCTCTCGGTCTGCAATGCACTGAGAGTGATGTGCAGACGGGTTACTGGAGAAGCTTTTCCGAGGAGTCTGATGGTAGGACGCCCAGCAGAGTGCAGACGTTGGACTCATAGGAACTCTGTTCACTGATGTTCACTGTTCACCGAGGCAAGAGCCATTAAGTTGCGGGACATCACCAACGAATTGAACGACTGCGTGCCTCGTCTCAGAGTCTCGTGGGCATCAATCGACTCAGTCGAGACTTGAGCTGTTTGCTGATCCGTGCCTTTGTGGCTGTTGGCCCGGCGGCCCCTCAGGTCTACACTAGCGGGAAGTATCCATTGCTGCTTGACACCACGGGCCAAGCGTGTCAGTTCCTGAAGTACCGTGGGCCGAAGCCTTGTCTTTTTTCGCTGCGTTTCACGGATGTTTATGCTGAAGTTTCTCGCATGGCGGGATCCAAGTCGCTACTTATCGATCCTCAAGAAGGGCGACTTCGAGAAGGACACCCTTCGAAAGGCCTTGGTGCAGGCCGCCGGCGCAGAGAGCCGAGAGCGTTTTAGGTTGAAGTCCGTGACGAGAGCCAGGCGCTTCACAATGGGGCCTGGCTTGTCTTGGACTTCGACAAGCTCGAGTGTGACCTGCAGTCCTACTTCGACAAGGAGGGTACTTTGCCAGGGCTTAGACTCTTAGACCTGCTCCACTGCTTCCGGAGCTTCCCGCGCTTTGCTTGTGCTCTGCTTGTGCTGTTTGTGAGAATGAGGACGCTTTTCCAGAGATGGTCTTGTCGCCGCATGAGCTCTTCCTCGAGGTTTTGGCACTGGAATGCAGGCTTCAGGTGGCTCCGGCTCGACTCCTACACCTGCAGGAAAACTTCACGCCGCTTCTGCGCCCCACCGATGAGTTTGCTGCGAAGGTACAGCCTCCGAAACTAGCGTAAAATGAATGCGATGAGACAGTATTAATAGCCGTTGAAAAATCTCCGTCGATCAGGTAACCTACGAGCATCAGGCTGCATTAGCGGAAGGTGCATTTCAGGCCCTGCCTGTCGCTCCCAATAATTTAACATTGGTAAATTCCGCTGCTGTCTGCTCCTTCCTGGCAGGATAGGACAAAGTGCCATGCTCCTGAAAGAGTTGCAGATGTGAGCAAGAAGTGAGGTCCCCAGGTATTCCAAGACTGTCAGAGCATCGTGATTTGCCACGGGGCTCAGATTCGATCCCAAAGATTCGTTTCGCCTTGTGCTGGCGACAAAGCAGGAGGAGTCAGTCGAGCTAGGAGGAAAACGTCGATTCCGCCTTTGAGATGTCCGCTGCAGGAGCCTCCTGCTTCCCTCAAAGACAAGATGACGCTTCTAAAGGCGACCCTTGTCTGCCTCTCTCTCTCTCTCTCCCCGTGTCCCGTCTCTCTGTGACTCTCTGTCCCCGAAGGTAGACGTATCAGAAAACGAGGTGAAGGCCCGACCCTGAAGCGAAGCCTCTAGAGGCGCAAGCTGGGCATCTCCAGTGCAGGAGAATGCTGGGCGCTGGGCCGGCCGGGAGCAGCCCAAGAAAGAGAAGTCCAAAGAGCAGGTCCCGTCCTCCGCTGGATCTAGCGTGAGCGTGCGTGCCCGTGCATGCCTGTGCGTTGTGCTCCAGCACTGAGCTTGGGTGCATCTGTGGAAAGATATCGGCATCGTGCAGACGTGGTGGGCACTGAAGCTTCGCGTGCAGGTCAAGATGGACGAAGAACTGCTGGAATTCGCCTTCGATGGTGAGCTGCAGGTCGGTTTTGCAACCTCAGTGACCATCGAATGAGGCATTAACAGATTCCAGGAAGTTCAGACGCTGCTCGACAAGTCTGCAGACCCGATGGCGAAGGAGCCTTCCGTAGATCGGGCTCCCAGTCCGCTGGATACGATATGATTCTATGATGGAACTTCTGGCATCCGGCGGGATGGGCTTGCATGTGCTCCCACCCCCCACCCTGCATGAATATGCATGATCGAGAGACCCAGGCGCACACACACACACACACACACATGAATGATCCGCCGGATGCGTTGCGAGGACGGTCGTGGAAACACTGCACTCTCTGAGGCCGCTGTGCAAGGCCACCGGGGGGCGGGCATTTGAGAAGTGTGGGGACTTCAGGGAAACTCTGGAAGCTGTGGAAATTGCACATCCTCTTCCGACCAGTTCGCAATGACACCTTCGGGCTTTCAATGACGAAGTGGCAGAAGTGTTGATCTGGCTGTCGAGAATTTGTAGCGCGAGATTGCACCCACCAGTCCCCGTGTCCTGACGGACTTGAAAGTAGCGCCGATGCGGCTGTTCAGGAAGCAGTCCCGATTCCCGGATGCAGGGCCAAGACAAAACGGGCTCTCTGTTGTAGAAGACAATCGGCCCTCCAAGAATCCGAACTTGGAGTGTGGAGGCCACCTCGAAGTGGTGAAATGCCTGTTGGCTTTGGCCTCAGACCTCGGTGAGCTGAAGAGCTTTTCTCCGCAGTCTGCCGAGGATTGGAAGGCAGGTCGGATGAGACGCCTTGTTTTGTGGTGGATAGGTGCGGGCTGTGGGCTGTTCGAGTGCAGGCACCCATTGGGAGCGATCCGAATGCGGCAGGCAGAGTTGTGTCAGCGCACGTCAATTTCATTCCCGGCAGTCGGAGGAAACGATGGCCGCACTTCTCTCCATCGGGCCTGCTTTCAAGGACACCAGGCCGAGCGGGAGCCCGGACCGCGCGCGCGCCCGTTCCTGTTCCCAGGCCGTGGCCCAGGTCTTGCTGGAGCACGGCAGCGACCCTCGCACGAAGGCAGCGGGCGAAGGGGCGAATGCCCGGCATCTTCTGCCTGTGAGTCTGTGAGTTTTAGATCTTCTGCCTGTCTTGACGCCCCTTGGGGTTATGTACCGGACCATGCCCGTGCACCATGCGGTGTGCTCGATGTTTTCGGTATCTTGAAAGTGACGCCGTCACGTTAATTGAATTTCGATCCTCAAACATCTCAAAGTGACGTTCCTGTGATCGGTGCAGCACAGGCAGATTCATTTGGCATTCATTTTCAGGTCGATCCCGTCTTTTGCCGGGAAAAGCTCTCACGAAGGGTAGTGGGGACCCTTTGCAGCGATACAACATGGCCGCTTTGTGTGTGAACGTGTCGTTTATCCAGGAGAAAGGTTTTTCGGAATGCGAATACTCCGAGCGGGATATGCTGATTTATTTCGTGAATATTTGTTTTTTCGCGCCCTTTGTCCAGCCAACAGCACGGGTTTGGCTCGAGCCCGGGGTCACTGACGCTGAACTTGTGGCCGGGAGAGAGAGAGAGAGAGAGAGCCCATGACATGCGCATACAGCAGATCATGACCTTTGCCACTGACATGTACACGGACACGAGCATGTCCACGACCGCCGCTGTGCACTCTGCCCATATCCACGCTTCATGAACATGACCATCTCCATGACCGTGCCAGTCAAGTGATGAACGTTGCCATGCCCATGTTACCACGTCATGACTGCCGACCATGTTGCAATTGCAGGGGGGAAACTCCGGGAAGCGCCGTTTGCACCGAAGCCGCGGCAGCATCAAGACCTGACCTGCCATCGACCAGCCGCACCATTCGTGACGATGGGAAGCCTTGTCGCAATTCGACAGAGGGGAAGCGGACCCAATTTGGGAAGGCAAGGCCATGATAACCCTCTGGACAGCTGGAAGCTTCGCGCCCCAGAAGATCTTCATCGAAGGGGGAGGGAACGACAAAGGGGAAGTGACGACCGGCCCGACTACACGATCCGGAAGTACCACAACGCGGGGACCGAAGGGCCCAGGCCCAACCACGACACGCACAAGGCGGGCGAGCCCCGCTACATGATCCAGGATGGGGATGGGGATGTCGGCAGCCAAGCGATGGAGGAATGTCGCACAAGGGGGAGTGGGAGCTGCCAAAGAACGCTGCCCAACCACGACGACTACATCGTTGGCCTCAACTACCATGCCGTCCAGCCCGACTACGCGACCCAGAAGCCTCACGGGGAGAAACAGTACCAGCAAATCGCGGACGGACCCGGTTCGACCCCGCCGTACGATCCAAAACTATCAAGCCTGTGCCCTGACCCACTCACTCGCAGCAGGACGGGGGGAGCCAGCGTGCAAGCCGAAGGGCATAGCGGGCACGGAGCCACGAGAATCGGGGTTCCCCGGCCTACCGCAACCCCTCCCACTGCCACTACCAGAATACGCCGTGGATGCTGGGCGAACGTGTGGCCACCGTACTTTGCAGGTGAGGCCGGGGGCAACCACGTAGAGGAGGCCACGACACCCCATGACCGTGGATGGCCGGAAACACCACAATGAAGGGCTGCAGTTCGGGCACGGAGCCCAACAACAGCCGGGCCCCCAACACATGGTCGGGGGGGGGGGGGGCGCCACGCAGCAGCTACAGCCCAACAATATACACCATGAACATTCTCCCAACAACTGCCGCAACAGCCACACCAGCCAAAGCACAACAGCGAGGTGATGGCAGTGGGCACTCCATGAACCACGATTTCCAGCACCGATACAGCACCCAAGCCAAGAAGCATACACACAAGCGCCACAGTTAGGCCAGACAGCAAAGACTAGCAAGAGCGTCAGCTTTGCCCCAAGGCAAGACGGCGCCCAGTGCCCGGATCT